TCATTCAAGTGGCCACAATAATTTACCATGTACGGTCAAACAAATGCAGTTTCCTGTGTGACTGAAATTAAGCTAGACCAACAGTGACACTCAACTATCTGATAAAGCCAAGTGTGGATACTTTGGAAATTCCCCCATTTTTGAGCAAGTGTAAACAATCAGAAGTAGAGGGAGGGCTGAGGTTTGAGGGAGGCGGTGTGAAGTGACTAACATGTTGGGTGGTATAAATACAAGATCCACAGCCCCATTTCAAACAGAACAACAACAAACCCAGGAGACAGTTGAACACAGAAGATCTTGGTTTTGAACATTTAGTACTGACCTATACCTCTCATCATGAGGTGCCGTGCTTTCGCTGTGTGTGTGCTATTGGGAGTCTGTCTGCAGAATGGATGGAGCCTTCCTCTCAAGTCTGTCTTTGTGACCTTCCCTGGAGACATTGTCAAAAACGTGACAGATACGGAGATGGCAGAGGTGAGTAAAGTATATAGTTTGTGTAGATAAATATAATGTTAACTTTTGTTTATTCATATTATTGTTATATGTTAACTAATTATATGTCCTTCTCCAGAATTACCTGAAGAGATTTGGCTACATGGAGTCGGTGCAGCGCAGTGGTTTTCAGTCCATAGTGTCCACGTCCAAAGCTCTGAAGCGCATGCAAAGACAGATGGGTTTGGAGGAGACAGGAGAGCTGGACACGGCCACCCTGGATGCCATGAAGAGACCTCGCTGTGGAGTCCCTGATGTCGCCAACTACAAGACCTTTGATGGGGATCTGAAATGGGATCATCATGACATCACTTACAGGCCAGTATTATACAGCATACATATAATAATAGCTCTTAATAGCTGATCATTATTGCACAGTGTATATCAATGAAAATAGTATAAATTAAGTAAATTATCTCCTCTTGTTTACCCCAGGATCCTGAACTATTCCCCAGACATGGAAAGCTCTCTGATCGACGATGCTTTTGCCCGAGCCTTTAAAGTTTGGAGCGCAGTGACCCCCCTGAGCTTTACACGGCTCTTTGACGGAACAGCAGATATCATGATCTCATTTGGGAAAAAGGGTGAGTGTTTACCATGAGAAAGCATATTCTCTCTTCTTTGGAGAAGTGTAACTGTGGGGCTGTTATTGCACAGACCATGGAGACCCATACCCCTTTGATGGAAAAGACGGCCTGCTGGCTCATGCTTATCCTCCGGGTGAAGGCATGCAGGGAGACGCACACTTTGATGATGATGAGCACTGGACTCTGGGGAAAGGGGCAGGTGAGTGAGTCAAAGACATCCAGTTTAAAAAGAGAGGTCTCCAAAGACTTTTTGCTTTCAGTAACTACATTTACAAATGTTTTCATTCTAGTTGTAAAGACAAGTTATGGGAATGCCAATGGTGCCTTGTGCCATTTTCCCTTCATATTTGAGGGCAAATCCTACACCACTTGTACCACTGAGGGCCGAACAGACAATCTTCCCTGGTGCGGCACCACAGCTGACTATGACAAGGACAAGAAATATGGCTTTTGCCCAAGTGAACGTGAGTCTAACTTCTGTTACACTGTTTTAGAGCTCATGTGGATTTTTTCAGATGCTAATTTTCAGTTAAACTATTTTGTTTGACAGTGCTGTATACAATTGGAGGAAATTCAGATGGGAAAGAGTGTGTCTTCCCCTTTATCTTTTTGGGAAAAGAGTACAACAGTTGTACCACAGAGGGGCGCAATGATGACTACCGCTGGTGTGCAACCACTGACAACTTTGACAAGGACAAGAAATATGGCTTCTGTCCCAATCGCGGTGAGCCTCGGAAACCACAATCAATAAACACAGTTGGGTGCTGCCACAGTTGTTTTGTTGCTTATGTTGATATGTTTTTGTTTTGGCAGACACCGCTGTAACAGGCGGAAATGCTGAAGGAGAGTCATGCCACTTCCCGTTTGTGTTTTTGGGGAAAGAGTACGACTCCTGCACAAGTGAGGGACGCTCTGATGGTAAGCTGTGGTGCGCTACCACAGCCAGCTATGACCAGGACAATAAATGGGGCTTCTGTCCAGATCAGGGTAAGGTTTTTCAAAAATACATCTTTGTAGTGCAGTATACTGAAAATGTATTTATATACTTTTATTTCAATGTGTTACAGGTTACAGCTTGTTCCTTGTGGCAGCTCATGAATTTGGACATGCTCTTGGTCTGGATCACTCCAACATCAGGGAGGCGCTCATGTTCCCCATGTACAGCTACATGGAGGACTTCTCACTGCACGAAGATGACATTGAAGGCATACAGTATCTCTACGGTATGCTCTAGAAAACATACAAATCCAAATACAACTTGTCACACTCTATTTAACTCAAAGTGTATTGCTTCTTCCCCAGGTGGTAGAACAGGCCCAGAACCTACCACTCCCCAGCCAACTCCCACCACCACAGACTACCCCGACACAGACGAAACAGATGAGACAGAGGGCACAGACGAGCCCACAGAGCCTACATTTACCACTACCACTCCCACTGTGGATCCTACACTGGACGCATGCAAACTCGACAAGTTTGACACCATTACTGTGATTGAAGAGGACCTGCATTTCTTCAGCAATGGGTAAGAAACCTTCTACTTACCTTTTCCTACATGCTATATTATATTACAAAACATATAAAACACAAATGTATTTCTTTGCAGACATTACTGGAAAATGTCAAGTAAACGAGGAAAGCTCACAGGACCGTTTCTTATCTCAGAGAGATGGCCAAAACTGCCAGCTTCAATTGATTCTGCCTTTGAGGACATACTAACCAAGAAAATCTACTTCTTCTCTGGTAAACAATAAAAATAAATATCTTATAGCACAGATAATCACTTATAAATAAATAATATCTCAAGGTTTTCAGAAGAATTACTTTAAAAATGTGTATTTCTTTGTAGGTTCACAGTTCTGGGTGTACACCGGGAAGGATGCCCATGGCCCCCGAAGTGTGGAGAAACTTGGTCTCCCCAACAGTGTGCAGAAGGTTGAGGGTGCTCTGCAGAGGGGAAAAGGGAAAGTCCTGCTTTTCAGTGGAGAGAACTTCTGGAGGTGAGACAGCACTAATTATATGGCACCCAATCTCAAAATGAGTAAATATATTAAGCGTTATGGTCTGCTATATGCTCCAGGCTTGATGTTAAGTCCCAGAAGATTGACAAAGGATACCCACGCTACATAGACTCAGTGTTTGGTGGTGTTCCCAATGACGCACATGATGTTTTCCTCTACAAAGGTACATTGTTGCCCTTTCGCCAAATGATGATTATATATATTTTTTTCATTTATAAATTACAACTTTGTTTTATTTTTCTCTTAGGTCATTTCTATTTCTGTCGCCAAAGTTTCTACTGGCGCATGAACTCAAGGAGACAGGTAGACCGTGTTGGTTACGTGAAGTATGATCTGCTCCAGTGTCCAGACCCCTCAAGACAATACTGGGGGGCTTAAAACATCTATTGTCATCACTGTGGAGCAAAGCCTTTCTCATCAATGTGTAGAAGACTATGAGATTGTGATGCAATTTATATAACCATCTGAAGACATGTGTGCCCTGTGGGATATGAACACCCCTAGTGGCCAAAACTAGAACTGGAACAAGAAGCAGAGTTTCAGTTCTACAAATACTCCCATCCATCTGTGAAGTCATTGGATATGGCTGCAAAAAGTACAATCTAAAATCCTAATTTATATTTATATTTCTGGTCATGTCCAGATTGACTAAGAATGTCTGACGGGATCAGACTAAACAGTATTGAAACAGTGTTAATATTTATAACTGGAAAAGATTATTAATTTTATTTTGTCTTTCATCTTGTGTTTGTTTGTTTGTGTATTTCTGGCAGACTGCCTGTTACTTGCACTGGATGACAATGTGTGTCTCCTTCAAATGTATTTATAAAATAGATTTTTTTTTTTTTTTAAATGAAATGTTTCATTGCAATAAACATTTAAGGAATGAAGCAGACTGACACTTTTATTTAATATAGAGTGTATCTGGTAAAAGACATAAACATTTTAAGCAAGTAAATGAACTATGAAACATTATCTTTTATATTCACTTGAACATGGCGACCTCTGTTGGTCAAAGACCCGCTGTGAAATTTGTCAATATTACTCTATATTTTACAAAAGGCTTGTCTACTACATAAACCGAGAGTTTATTCAGTCTTCTCTGTATTTAAGAGCAGCCTGAGCACAGGCTTTTTCCCAGAACATAGGATTTTTTTTTTTTTTCTTCTGTATTGTCTTTTAGGTTAATATATGTGGGTTATGAATATGTGTAACGTATGCTGCTCATGTTAGGCAAGTGTTTTTACCTCGACTAACTATAAGTTAGTTCTTCGGTAGCCCTGTTGGTCTCGTTGGTCTCACCTCCTTCTTGGTTGTGGTAATTATTTTTGTGCTAGAACACATGGGTGTTGTTATACTATCTTTTTTACTTGTCAAATATAATATGCTTTTTGACACGTGAAAAGTGAACATTCTGTATTATTCATTGTTCGTGAATTGTAATATTTAACTGTCTAAATAATAAAGCTTTTTACAAGTTAAACTTATAGAGGAATTAGAAACAAATGGCATCTATCAAATAATCTCAATTACAATCTTAACTTGACTGGGCTACTGGTGGAAAGACCTTAAAATAAATCAACTGTCCAAATCCGTCAAGGAAGGCTTTAAATGAGTGGGCTTGATAGTCAGTTTGTATACAAGCTTTCATGCAAAAACTGTGTAACCAGGGGGCACGGGGCCATGGGTTTTCCTAATACCATAAAAATAGCAATATATAATGGATACTTTCTGCGATATGGATGGTCTTGTATGAAACTGGATATTGTGCACAATGAAGCTAACCTTTCTGTTTGCAGTGTACCCGACTAAGAGAGATATTAGACTGATCAGCGTGTTATTTTTTTTTTTTCATTGACAGGTATCAGATCGGAGTTCTCCTGCAGCGAGGAGTAGCCCAAACAGTATTACTCCGCAAACAATTGCGTCATTCTCCTTCCACTAAAAACAATAGTCCTTTCGGTGTGTTTGAATTTCAATTAAAATTATTTTAACAATCGGATCAAGGATCTAAGTTTATAGAAATGTCCCTCGGAGTTCTCTGCTTAAACCGATTCATATATAAACCACAGTAGATCGATGTAAACACAAAATCATAAATAAGATCCGGCTACACGCACAGGAAGCTAGGGGATACTCATGGCGCCCGACTAGAAAGAAGCAAGTATTTTCTTATACAGACAACCGCCGAATTTCAACCTTCCGCGTAAAGGATCGCCCGAGCTTTATATACACGGTAAGATAAAAGAACAGTGCATCTTGTGCCCTGGAGAGAACAGTGAATAGTTTTCTTCAGGGGCGGTATTTGGGCGGTCTGTTAGCTCGCTCGGGCCCTTGAGGTCCCCAGTAGAACTCACAGATTGCCTGAGTGGAAAACGGAGCCGTGTAAAATGGCGACACGGAGCAGGCAGGGTGAAGGGCAGCTAGGCCCCTTCTCGAAGCACACTTGGTGTTGATGTGGTTACGGTTAACAACACTGAACAAGCTCCTAAATCCAAATCGTGTTGGTCTTGGGTTGTACGGTTTCTGCCCGTGTACCCGTAGCAAACAACAAAGATGCCAACAGCTAGCTTAAAAGCTAACAACAACCATCCGTTCAGCATTTTAGCCATGGATCAAACACCTCTAGCCTCGTCCTGGCACGAAGGACAAAACAACAAACCAATTTTCCATTGTACTGTTTTCAGTTGGTTGTGTTGTGTGAACACTTGGCCACATGTTATGTGGTTAATGCCCGAAAGAGACTTTCCCATTAACAATGTATCTTTCATTGTACAAATTAAGAAACACAAAACCGTATCATTATGCTCCATAAAGTTATAATACTAGGGACAACTTTAAATGTTTTTCAGGTGATCTAAGCCAATACATAATGGTACGTCTGCTACATAAGTATAAAGAACAGTAAATATTAATTGTAATGATAAGGTTTGGTGTTTCTGTCAGTGATGGATTCAGAGGAGAATGAGGTGGAGAGTAGTAGTGATGCTGGACCGTCTGGGATGGAGGAGCCCTCTGAGAGTGGCATGGGCATGGAGTCATCAGAGGCCATGTCTGCAGACAGCAGTGATGCTGCTGCCTCCCACACACCTGCCCCAGAGTCTGACTGCCATGTGGGCCAGAGCTCAGAGGGGCTTGAGGTAAGAAACTGATTCATAGGGAGTCAAAAGTATTGCACCATGTTTGTGATTCTGAGGAGTTAATTTATTATTGTTTGTGAAGGTGTTTATACCAGAGACAAGTTCCAGTACAGATGCCCGTGTGTCGTCAGTGCACCTCCCAGACTCCTCGTCGGTCGCCCAGTCCACCAGTGTGTCCAGTGTGTCCACAGTCACTCAATCTGTGCTGGTGTCTGAGTCGGCCCAGGTCGTGGTCCACTCCAGTGCTGTCCCAGATGGAGCCATGATGGTTTCAGACTCCACTGCTTCTACCTCATCGGACTTGGGCTCTGCCATCGACAAGATCATTGAGTCCACTATTGGCCCTGACATTGTGAATGGTATAAGGATAAAATAACTTTATTCATCTGTGGTGCTTTATTTTTCAGCAACATGTAGAGTTTATTCTTTTTACTTTTAGGCTGCATCGCTGTCACCAGTGCTGAAGATGGTGCTGCAGAAACAACACAGTATTTAATTTTACAAGGACCAGATGATGGTGTGAACTTTGGTCTTTTCCAGAAAACCTTTGCCCACTGTTATTGACTTTAGACATGGCATTGATTAGTTATGAATTACTGTCTATTTTATTATTCATAATTGTTTTATGCTTGTGAATGAATCAGGTGCTCCTGTGGCAGCCCAGATGTCATCATCTGCCTTATCAGGTCGCATAGCCATAGAAGCTCTCAGTGAAGGCCCTACATCCACATGTTTGGATCAGAGAGACCTGCAGCGAAACCTGGAACCAGACCAGCCAGACGACCAGCCGGGACCCTCAAGCTACCCAGAGGACAGCAGCAGTCAACCGGACCAACCGGGGCACTCCCACCCCTCCTTGTACATAGAGTGCAGCACAGATGGCCCTGATCAGACTGGAGAGTCCTCCTCTTCTTACGTGGGGTGTTCAGGTCAGGAGCCAGACCAGACCCGCTCTCAGTCTGGTTTCCCTGACTACAGTGGAGATAACAGTGACCAGGACCTGCCTGGATATGTAGAATGCAGTGGAGCTGACTCAAACCCCACCAGCCATAGTCACTATGTGGTGGAGTGTAGTGGGGGTTATCAGGATCAAACTCATTTGCGCAGTTACATTGACAGCAGTGCAGACCACAAGGCTCCATCCAGTCGGCAGTATGGAGCTGAATATGGCGTGGGGTGTGTGGACTCTGAGCAGCCCGGATGTTCTCAGTACCAGGCTCGAGATGATGATGACGATGATGATGATGACGATGATGATGATGATGAGCAAATGGATGGCCCTGACCAGCCCCAGCACTCCCAGCAGCCACCACAGCACTCTGGTTATACAGAGAACAGCAATGACCCAGAGGCTTCTCTGTATGCTGAAGAGAGCTCCTCCTCAGACCATCCTGTGGCCGACACGGCCGGCTCCCGTGGCCTTCCTGAGGCACTTGAATGCAGTGAGAGCCAGTCTGGGCCTTATATCAGCAGCAGCTGCACATACACCCCTCATTCAGAGCCTGAACCCACCCCTCAGTGCTCATATAGTCAAGGAGGACCTCAGGACACCCAAGAACAGGAGCATGGAGCTGGGATACCCCAGCAAATGGATACACCCACAATGGCACAGGGTTCAGGGTACCAGCCGCTTAATCTGGAAGACATGATGGAAGTGGTGATTGTACAACAGTTTAAATGCAAAATGTGTCCATACAAAAGTACATCCAGAAATACACTCATTAACCACATGCGGGACAAGCACTTCAATAATGCAGGTAAAAGTTTTCAAAAAATTTAGGTTGACAATGTCGTCATTTAAGAGAAGGTTGTTAAATCTTAGCTGTCTCTTTGGCTTCTTGGGACAGACACTTAAATAATGTGGTGTCCAAATGAGAAGAGCATAGTAGTCAAAGAGGACAGTACAGACTTGCAGCCACAGTTCTGTCAGTAAGCTTAATAACTTTGGCTACTAAAGTAACTTAAGACCACTGTGTGGGGAGTTAGTTATTAAATAATTATAATAGTAACATACTCTGTTGTGTTTTAAGATAATCAAGCTTAATGATAATAAATATAACAATGAATATATCAAATATATAATATAAATAGAAGTAGTTGTTAGAAACATGAAATAATCATTATAAACATGAAATAATGACTTCATAATAAATGTTGTGTTGTTATATTTGATGTAAAGGAGATATGCCAAAGAAGCGTAAACGTGGGCGACCCTCAAAGAGTGAAACATTGGCCCGACGTCAGGCTGAGCTGGAGCGAGTGGAGCAAATTAAGGCGAAGCAGGAGCAGGCAGCTCAGGTCCAGCCTGCAGAGGAGGAGGATGACGACATTGTGGATGCTGGTGCCATCGATGATTCTGAAGGTAGTTTGATCTCACAGAGCTGCCAAATGTGACACATGTGCATGTACAAATCACATTTGTCTTTCAGAGGATAGTGACTATAACCCAGTTGATGAAGACTGCAAAGGAAGACCACCTGCTCTTCTTAAAAAGCCTGCACAACCAAAATCCTTCTCTGAGGGCCGTCCCAAACGCAAAGTGGGACGACCACGAAAGTATACTCCACCGGAGGAAGGATCTAATAGTAAAGGTTTGATTTCTTATAACCATTACACCTAAATATATATTTCGGTTGGGTTTTTTTTTCATTATTTTCTGTAATTTATTCCAGAAGCAGACAGTATTGTTAATATGTCAAGACATACGGACACAAGTCCACCTGAAGAGGCTAGCTCCTCTGGTGTGGACACTGGACCTGCTGAGCTGATTACAGAAGATGCAGCAGAAATGGCCATAAGCCAGTCGGACTCTGAGAACAAAGATCCTTCCTCCATCTCTCAGCCTGGGGAGGAATTCCTTCCAAAGAAACGAGGACGCCCCTCAAAACACTTCCTGCGAAAAAAATACAAGAAATATATTAATCGCAAGTGAGTTTAAAAGTTATTGTTTTAAATCTGAATTTATGGAGCTCTTACAACATCACTGTTTCTGTTTTCCTTTAGTCGATACTACAAATCCTTGAAACCACTGCAAAGACCCCACAACTGCTGGATTTGTGGCTCACGGTTCCTCACTCAAGAAGATTTGAGATTCCATGTAGAGTCCCATGAAGGCAATGATCCTGAACTGTTCAAATGCCTCCAATGCAACTACCACTGCAAACGGTGGACATCTCTAAAGGTCTGCCATTACTTTCCTGAGATATTGTGAACTTTTTCTACACTGTGTAACACTTGAATGTTGCAGGAACACATGTTTAATCATGAAGGTACAAAGCCCTTCAAGTGTGACGAGTGTGATTATACAAGTGTCTACAAGAAGGATGTGCTTCGGCACGCAGCTGTCCACAGAAAAGTGTAAGTACTTCTGTGACAATACATTATTACATTTTGTGCTGGACATTTGGGCACTAATTTTTTTTTTGTTCTTTTTTTTTTTTTTTTACAGAAAAAAGAAACCAGATACGGTAATGATATTATGTTTTCATCCAGGGTCTGAAACATTGTTGCTTCTAAATTTGGAAATGTTTATTAAAAATCACACTTTAACAGGGTTCAAAAACATCAGAGTTCCCCTGCCCTATTTGTCACAAAGTTTATCCACTGCAAAAGAGACTGACCCAGCACATGAAGACGCACAGCTCCGAGAAGCCTCACATGTGTGACAAGGTTTGTGTTTAAGATTTTACTTAACTTATAATTTCCAATAATAATTTAATAATACATTTTCTTTTTAGTGTGGGAAATCTTTTAAGAAACGTTACACATTTAAGATGCACCTTCTGACGCACATCCAAAGTCTTGGAGAGAACAAGTAAGGAATTTTATTTTATTTATTTATTTTTATCTTGCTTTACTTTTTCACATAGTTTACCTAACCATATGCCTGTTTTCAGATTCAAATGTGAGTTTTGTGACTACACCTGTGACAACAAGAAGCTGCTTCTTAACCATCAGTTGTCCCACACCAATGATAGACCCTTCAAATGTGACTACTGCAAATATGCCACAGCTAAAGAGGAGTTTCTTGTCTCTCACATGGCTATCAAACACACAGGTGAACGTATGGGGGAAATGCCTATTGTGTGCAAAACAGTTTTTATATTAGTAGCTGATGAAACAAATGAATAATCAAAATAAAGGTTTTAAAAGCTTGGTTCAAGTGTATGTTAACAGACTTTGTGTCATATTTCTTTAGGGGAGAAGCCTTTCTCTTGCAGCATGTGTCACTTCATGACCAAGCACAGAAAGAACCTCCGTTTGCATGTACAGTGTCGGCACCCTGATGCGTTTGAGGAGTGGTCCCAGGCTCACCCCGAGGAGCCCGCCCAGAAACGACGCAAACCCTTCTTTACTCTGCAGCAGATTGAGGAGCTCAAACAACAGCATGAGAACATACAGGGCCTGCAAAATACTATTGTAAGTCTGTTTTATGCATAAAGCAACACTATATATAAATCCTATTATTAATTACATATTACTACAAATTTTAAGGTTGCAGTAGATCCATCAACTCTGCAAGCAATACAAGGCATGGAAAATGCTGCTGTTACCCAAGATGCTTTAGGAAACACTATTATCTATGAGCAAGGTTTGTTTAAAAAAAATAAAATAAAATATGTGTAATATTGGTTTTCTAACTATGATTAACGCACCTTCTTTTTTAGGTGAATCTGGGGACCTTTCAGCTCAGAATGCTCTTGACCTGCTGCTGAACATGAGTAATGCTCGAGAACTAGTAGGAAACTCTTTACAGGTAAATTAAACATTAGCCGGAGGTAGCATTTTACATTTACGAGAGACCATATTTAGGAGCAATACTGGCCATTTTTGTAGGTTGCTGTGTTAAATCCTGATGGTAAAGAAAAGGGTACGTGGACAGTTACTTCAGCTCCAGGGGCAGCCTCTGGTTCAGCACCAAAGATCGTCACTGTTCATGTGTCTGAGAATGGTGAAACCGTGCTACAGGAGGCCTATGAAGAAACTACCCCCCAGTCTGAAGAAATCACTCAGATCACCATTGGGGACTATGAGAGTGAAGACTACAATGTTGTGGAGCAATCAACAGAGGACATCCACAGTACTGGGTCAGTCAGATTTAACCATTGAATGTGTAAAATGGAAAATTTGTTTTATTTTGCCATTAACTGTAAATCATATTCTTTAAGTGTTAATGAGAAGACTTCATCCCAAGACAATGCTAAAAGTGAAAAGTTCTACCTTACTGCAGCTCTGCCTGAAGGTGTTTTGCAACAAGTTGAGGTATTGTATTGTATTGCTGTTAGGATTCACTGTAAATTCTAAAGCTAACCAATTTTTTTTATCTGCTGTCAGCTGAGCAGTGATGCCCCAGCCTCCCCTTCAGCTGTGAGCTCACCAGGTCCCAACACTAAAAGGTTTTCCTGTCGCATTTGCATGGAGTCCTTCCAGGGGCGTTCTGACATGGAGAACCACAAGAGGGCACACATAGACCCCAACACATTTAAATGTGCTGATTGTGACTTTACATCAGCCTCCTGGCTTGAGGTCAAGGTATGGTTTATACTTAGTTTTTTGACAGTTTGTTTGGCAGTTATTTCATTTCTTTTTTATGTTGATAATTTCAGAGTCACATGGAGCTGCATTCTTACTTGCGTCCTCACAAATGTCCAAGCTGCAGCTTTGCCTCCAAGAACAAAAAAGACCTAAGGAGACACATAATGACTCATACCAATGAGAAGCCGTTTTCTTGCAGCCAATGTGGGCAAAGGTAAGTATCGAAGCTTCATAACAGCGTAACAAGCCAAAAAAATCAAACTTTAATTAAATCAGTTAAATGACTGAGAGAAAAGCACATGCATCTTACTGATCCACAAATGCACAATGTGCTTCCCTCTGGATGTTTTTCATAGAGAAAAGAATCAGTATATCTACTAAAACAGGTTGAAGAATACCTGTCAGTGTCACCCTGTTAGTTTTGGTTCGCTTGACGCTGGCTTCATCACAAACCACAGTTCTGCTCTGTGATTGGTCAGTTTCTGCACAACCTATCACAAGTAAATGCTTCAACCAGAATTGAATAACACAGATTCTCAAGGATTTGTGAACTCACAAAAATCATGAGAAATTGTCTTTCATTCATTTTTCATTCATTACATTTTTATATAGTCTCCCCAAACTGGTTTGAAAGTACAGTTGTTTGAGTAGTTAATTTTTTTTTTTTGGGTCCCAGGTTCAAACGTAACGGTCATTTGAAATTTCATATGGAGCGCCTCCACAGCCAGGACAATCACACCCGTAAGAGCACCTCCAGTACTTCACAAACAATAATAGTTAATAGTGACGAGGAAGCCCTGGCCACTCTCCAAAGTAAGAAGAATAGTTTGATTTAAAATATATATTATCTAGCTATTTTATATGCTCTCTAATGACAATCTCCTTGTGTGGTAAACAGCATTGCAGAGTCAGACAGTCATTTCTCCGGAGCGACTCCAGGCTTTGGGACAGGAGCATATCATTGTTTCCCAGGAACAGGCTGGATCAGACCAGGTTTATACAGCTTATATGTCAATAAATGTCAACAAATACAAAATATTTATTACATTATTTTGTTTAGGAGGAAGGCACATACATAACCATTGACAGCCAGGCAGTTCAGCATCTAGTCACTGATGACAACCAGGTGACTGAGGTACATAACTTAACCTTGTGGTTCATTTTTAAATTGACAAAAATTAAAAAACAACAAACTCCTGTTTTTCCTAACAACAGGTTCAATACATCATTGCACAAGACGGAGTTTCACACTTAATTCCTCAGGAGTATGTGGTGGTAGCTGATGGGAACCAGATCCAGGTTTGTTTTGGGGAAATTACTCTAAGTGTCATTATGCAGTGTGTCTATGTTTGAACTGTTTCTGTGTATCAGATGCCAGATGGACAGATCATTCAGTATTCAGAACAGGATGGGACTTTTGTGCAAGGGCAGAAGGTAGGATAATATATTGTTGTTTGCTATAGTATTGTAAATAAAGAAATGCTTATTATTGTTGATGTGGCTCTGGTTTAGATTGCGGTGAGTCACAATGGTCAAATCCAGTACCTCCCTGTCACCTCGGAGCAGCAGGTGGTCAGTGCTGAAGAGTTGGAGGCAGCAGCACATTCGGCTGTCACAGGTGAGATTTGTCTGCATCTTAAATCTTAAATCTTGTTACGGTATTGTGGTTCAAATTACATCTTAGTATTCTCTTGGCTTATAATATTTAATGGAGATAATGGTCAAGTAATATTGTAAATATAGTGAATTCAAGGGCCAAGTCAGAAAGGCATTCATGAATTTTTCTTTTGGATAGTCTTTATGAATTATACCATATATTCAATAGGGAAAACTAGCTCCTACCCCCATCTGAGAGGATGGTATCACATTCTAGAAACAACTAATTGTATTTGTTTAACTTGCAATTTATTTACCATCAAAAATAATTAAACTGAAGATTTTATTATTACATTATTTAATTTGTGTCATGTAACAGTATCAGAAAACAGGGTTTATCTGCAGATAAGCAGAATCATTGTCACACTGGTAACAGGTAATTGTAACTGAATGTATATTTCAGCAGTTGCAGATGCAGCCATGGCCCAGTCGCAAACGGTCTACACAGAGGCCACACCGGAACAACTGGAGCAACTGCAGCGACAAGGCATCCACTACGACGTCATCACCTTCTCTGAATGAGCCGCGCACAACTTAGAACACTAAAGCTGCAGAGATCTCCTGTTATATATGCATCTACAAACTGAACTTAAGGGTCTCCTCCACGCCTGCTGGGGGCATTGCACTGGTTGAAATACAAATCGCCTTTTGTACATTTAGATTGTTGCACCTGTTTCTCTTAATCATGGGGCTGTTTAATCTGTTTTTAATTAATGAAGAGTTTATGTGCCTCGGAAGACTTCATTTGCAAGACAATGTTTTGAAAGGAAATGGAATGTTTATAAGAAGAGTATTTATGTTAATTAATTGTGGAAAAAAAATGTGTCTGCTTATTATCATGTACATACATTTTGCATTTTCTTTTACTCTAGGGGAGAAAAGATGTTTTGAGTTAGTCCATAGTCATAAGAACCAGAGATGACGACAATAAATAATTTTACATAGACAACTGACTATAATTATTGAATGATGCTGTACTGTTCATCAACTGTCAGAGCAAATACTTGAGTCAGTGAGGTATACTGCACTATACTTAAGTGGAGTACTGTAAGAATTGCCCAACCTGAATAAGAACCTTCCTGTAAGGGGAGAGTCCCAGCCTCTTGTCACCATGCTGTTGGTTTTAACAATCCATTTATGTACTTGACACGTACCAAAATATTTGTTGTATACTAGTGTTTTTAGTTTTGCAATACTTGGGTAAATTACCATGATGCCTTATCAAGAAAAGAAAAATATATTCTATAAAATAAATGCTATGGTGTATGCATGATATTTATACATGATTATTTCTGCAGAATATATTTCCCCTCTGAACTTGTGTTTTTAGGAGGGGCCTCAAACCTCAGCACACTAAAGGCATAGCAGATGAGACTGAAAAACAGAAGTAGCCGATTCAAGATGAAGTTTGCCTTTGTTGTTGTTCTTTTACTGAGTGAGTGTATTGCAGGCTATGTTTTAACAATTCTTAAAAGTACCATGTTGGTATTATAATTTTGTATCTCGTATTTTACTTTTATTGTAGGCATTTCTTATGCACACGGACAACAGAGCATTGAGGAGTCCCCAAACATTTTGTTGAGATTGTCTTTTCCTCCATTTTACAACTCATACTTCAAATCGTGCTGTAAGTTATATCCAGGAGGGTGCTACTTACTTCTGAACAGTAATGGATACGTGTGCGATTTTTTAAGAGGCAGAGTGACCCAGAACCAAGGCGATGGATGGCTCCAGTTCACTATTTCAAATGCACATTTCAGTGATCAGGGATTTTACAGGTGCACTGTCATGGGGACCCCAATCTACTCAGACTATTATGTGGAAGTGAAAGGTAAGATTGTTATTTCTTTGTTTAAACTATTGATTCATTTGCTAAATGTTTGGATATGTTGTTAGATACTTCTGATCATCTGTTATCCCATAAACCCACCACTAAATCTCATGGCATCTCTACTGACCGGGAGCCAACTGAAGCTGTCCTGGAACAAGACATGAGTGATACTCTTAGGTATTTAGTAAATACATTTATTTTAAGGTGCCAAATATAACATTGCTGTTTGTTATCAAACTTGTTTGCTGCTTGTTATCAAACATTGTTGCTGCTTGTTATCAAACACAATGTTTGGGGAGGCAATAAGGGCAAGTTATCCGTTATCTTCCCTGGATACTGGGAGATTTTGATGTATTTTTAGCAATAAAAACACTTGCTGAATAAATGCATGATGGATGCGTTTAATGCCACAAAGTGAGACATTGGGACAAGTTACATTGTGCACCTTTATTAAGCCAGTCACAGTAAAAAAGAGCAATTCAAATATTGCCCATTAATTTAAGAGAAAAATACACTGAAATCAAACCAGCTGCTAAAAAGTTGCATTGGAATTGCACATAACTTGTGCAAGACAATTTTGGTTTATACATGCCAACCTTTGTATGAATAAATGAATGTATAATATTGACCACAGTTAATAATTTGGTGCTAAAACTTTGCAGAGATCCCTGGAGTGTCCCTCTCCCTGCTGCTGTCTCTATGGCAGCAGTGATTTGTATCTCGTCACTGACTGCTTTGGTTTTCTGCTGCGTGAAGGCAAAACAGAAACAGTCCAGTAAGCACAATGTATACACATAGTTTGAAGATTGTCACAAAATAATTTAACTTCCTTCCTGTGATTTTTGTAGACACAAAACATGCTGACTCACCTCCGACAGACATAGCCTCAGTGAAACAGGATCATGTGGTGAGTGTGGTCACCATCATCTGACCAAAAACCCATGTGCTACTATGTATTGGCCTATTTATGGTTCAAAATATTATCTGACAGTTAGAAATAGTGCATTTAAAATATATTGTAGATTTTTTATCTTACTGTTACTAATGACCAATATCTGCTGATGTTATTAATATTTTAATTAATTAATATTTTCCATTGCAGGACCCACAAAGTTCATGTTACTGTATATATTTGATATAATTTAGTGTTTTTTATGATATCACCACATCTTTAACTTCCTAGCTCCTTTATATCAATTTTAACTCCCTAGTTTGCAGGACACAACTGATACTATAGTTGACAAGTATCAATTTTATTTAAAACTAAATCTCCCATATTGGCCAATATTGATATTTGCATCTTTGATATTGATAATTGTCCATCTCAACTGACGACATTCAATCTGTTTCAGGAAATCAGTGCAATCATTTACACAACAGTGGATTTTCAAGCTCACCAAAATCCTACACAAATATATGAAAATCTGAGGGCGCCAAAAATACAAGGTCACCGTGCTCCGCAGCATGCTGGCAATGTGGAGTACTCTACATTGGCAGTCCATCGACATCCATGACTTAATGGTAATTTTTCATTGCCTCTGGATCAGTGGGTTTAAAATAGGCCGGGGCTAGAACAGCAACAGGAACATTTTGTGGTAGAATGACAATTGATTTAGTGCTCTTTTAGTTGGAGCCTCATCTAATCCTACTTTTCTCTGTTGTATTCTGTTTTTGTTCAGATCATGTTTAGTCCAATCAGTTTAGGCCCTGGTCTTGAAATAGTGAGAATTTATATTTTGTCCAACCAGCTGCAGATCATTCATGTGCTTTTATGAATGTGAAATCCCTGTCTGCCCAGTACGTTTCTTTTTTTTTTTAAAAATAAATAAATAAAGTTTTTGGCTCATCTCTTTTTTCAGCTTCTGGACACTCTGGGAGCTGTTCTCCAAAGCCAAAAGATATAGTCTATTCTTGGTCTTTCTTTACACCTAAATCTGATAGAGAAGCATTATGAATCTGAAGTGAGAGGCGGGTGTCTCCTAGGACCAGACTGGGCTCGACATATTATTGTGTGACATTTCAACACAAGATAAAGGATTTCTAAAGATGTTCCTCTAGTATCTTCCCCCACATTCAAACAGAGAACTGTCTTTTTGCAATGCTTTTATTTGATGTAATTTGCAATGTGCAGTCCACTTTCGTGAGTCTACAACAGATTACACAGCCTGGGCCAATCCAATGTACTGGTTCTGGATGTCAAAGATGGCGTAGTATTCCCTGATGAAGACATCTCCCAGGATCCAGAGTGGTTCAGTTCCGCCTTGACCAAAACCAGTGTAGCAGCTACTGTAGCTCTGTACAAAGGCGTAATAAAAATCAATATTTTTTTTTCTAGTGACTACAATATTCATACATTAAAAACAGAGGTACTCAAACTATGACCCATTTTTGCTGGGGCTTATGCTTCCTGTGAATTGTCCCAAATGATCCAAAATAGTAGGCTTTTTACTTCAATTTTTGAATAATGCTACTATAATATAATGCCTAAATAACCTACACTGTGACGTGATACTGACATAACTTTTTAAAAAGTGTGGTGGCTCAGTCAAACCTACATGAAATGCAACATTTTGAATGATTCACTTTGTCATCTTATTTATCGCAGTCTGTTTGATGCATGTTTATATGTGGGCCTCAGTGACAAAACTTTTGGACACCCCAGTTTAACAGTGAGTTTTTAAAGCAAAGTTCTCATGGCAAAGTTGTATTGAAATAATTGTCCCTGTGAAATGAATACAACAAATTCTGATTATAGTTTTAAAGGTGCATCATGTAACTTTTGTGATAGACAGTCAGCAACCTGCTTGTCTCCATGGAGATGGTTTTGCATTTGTTTTCACAATATGGCATTAAATTTAACAATCACCATAGAGACAAACAGGCCAGGTTGGTGAGACAGATCACAGAGTAGAAGTAGAATAAGTTGAAACAAACTAGTAATGGCATTCTACTGAACCAAGACTTAATCAAATCAAAATCAGATCAAGTCAAAACAAGTTCTAAACCAGAGGTAATTCATCTTAAATCCAAGTCTAAACTAGGATTTAACCAAGAATAACCCAGACATATAGCAGGTCTAAAAAGCCCATGAAAACTCATATTATTTAAACCTGGCTCTTTTTGTGTAGTTAAGATGAGTTCATAATTGTTCAGTGTTTTTACTTGAGTGATGTAGCCAGAGGCGGGGACAGAGAAGGAGATTCCATTCAGAGTGAAAGTAACATCAGGCAAGCTCTGGATGTTCTGGCAGTTCACCACAGCCTATAAAATGAAGCACAGAAGATCTCTGTATGAAAGACCTTTCATAGACTTTCCAACTCCACCTCAAGTTACCAGGTCCTATTAGTTATTCTCATTTGAAACTTTTGACATCAGAGTAGAGATGTTGCTTACTTTGGGTCCAGGAAAATGATGAAAAATTGTGGCTAGCGTTCCGGTATAATGGGATGACTCACCTCTCCATACTGGTTGAGTGATGCTCCGAGCCAGGAGTTGATGTTGTTGATGTCTGTGTTTGGTCCGACGATGAGGGAGGTGCCAGTGTCGATGATGGCCTGGCAGCCCCCGGCACAGGCTACAATTTGTCCATTAATGGTCACACTTAAAAAAAAAAGAAAAAAAAAGACAATTTTAGTGAGATCAAGTGGCCCATTTTTAGAGGTGGGTTTTCATTGGGTACCTGTCCATGTTAATCTGCCAGTAAGTAGCAGAGCTCAGGGGGATCCAGTAGATTGACCCAGTGTAGTAGCTGACATCAATTCCTCCAAAGATCACCTCACTGCCCTTCTGGTCATTGCTACAAGTGAAAAGTGTGAGACATTGGAACATATTATGTCAAATCAACTTGAGCTTTTAACCATTTTATAACAGTTTCCCCATATCATTACCATACTCAGTTGTATTTCATGAATGTTGACTCATGCATGTTTGAGTTTTCCTGCGTCATCCTGTATTCACCCCTCCTTGAACCGAGTGCCGGAGTGATCCCAGGAGCTATGTTGTCTGGGTCTTTATGCCCCTGGTGGGGTCACCCAAGGCAAACGGTCCTGGGGGACAGGTCAGATTAAGAGCAGTTCAGAAGCCCTAAGAACGTGGCCAGTTATGTCACCTGGAATGGCATCACCGGGCCCCACCCTGAACCAGACCTGCAGTGGTCGGATCTCCCTCCACGGGGGCCAGGGACAGCCCACGAGTGACGTGGGGTCATCCTCCCATCTATCCACCACCCATAGGAGGATCCATAAGGGTCCGGTGCAAAGAGATCTGGGTGGCAGTCGAAGGCCTGGGACCGGATCTGCATACTTTGAAACTGGTTCAGGGGACATGGAATGTCACCTCGCTGGGGGGAAAGGAGCCTAAGCTTGTGCGGGAGGTTGAGCGTTACGAACTAGATATAGTAGTCCTTGAGAGGGGCTGGACTCTCCGGAGTTCACCCCAGTGAATGAGAGGGTCGCATCCCTGTGCCTTTGAGTCGGGGACAAGTCTTTCAGTCTATGGGCCAAAAAGCAATGCAGAATACTCAGCCTTCTTGGTGTCCCTGAGAGGGGTACTAGACAATGCACCGACCAGGGACTCTGTTGTTCTACTGGGGGACTTCAACGCCTACATGGCCCAGGTGGGAGGGCAAGGAAGGTGGGTTAGGAGCTCAGCCCACCTTGCCCAGGTATGAGAGGTGGGTCTCTGCCTCAAATGGAATGGAGTTCAAGTATCTCAGGGTCTTGTTCAGAAGTGAGGGGAGGATGGAGCGTGAGATTGACAGGCAGATCGGGGAAGCGTTGGCAGTGACGCGGTCGCTGTATCGAGCCATTGTGGTGAAGAGGGAGCTGAGTCAAAAGGTAAAGCTTTCGATTTACCGCTCAATCTGCATTCTTACCCTCACCTATGGTCATGAGTTTTGGGTAATGACCGAAAGGACAAGATCACGGCTATAAGCCACCGAAATAGGTTTCCTTCACAGGGTGGCTGGTTCTCCCTTAGAGACAGAGTTAGGAGCTCAGCCACAAAGGAGGAGCTCGGAGTAGAGCTGCTGCTCCTCTACGCACTACAAACAGCTTTGTGGGAATTTTATCATTTCTTGTTAGGGTACATGTGAAGAGGTCTGTTACAGTTTTGCAGCGCTTCTGTCAGTGTGCCCCAGGGCAGCTGTGGCTACAATAGTAGCTTACCATCACCAGGGTTTAGAGTGAATGAATGAATGCTGAATGAATAATGCTGAATAATGCTCTGTAAAGCGTCTTTGGGGACAGAAAATGTCTGTGAAAAGCGCTATATAAATAAAGACTTACTTACTTACTTAAAGTTTTACATTTATGCGAGGCAAACTTAAGCTCCACATTTACTAACGGCATCAGGATGGGGTCAGGCAACTTCATTCAGTATTATTATAGTATAAGTATTATTCACCAGGCTCCGTACTCTGCAGCCAGCCTCATCTCTATCCACTGAGTGACTGGGAGAGGAAGGGGAGTGAACAGGAGAGGAGGGGGGAGTCATGTCTTTCCTCTCGCTCCTCAGATCAGAATGATCGGAAAGGTTCCGTAGCCCAAATCAAACTCTGAGGTTGCACGCTGTGGCTCTTCTCTCATTTAGTCAGAACATAAATAACATAAAATTTTTGGCCCATTTTCCATGATGTCATTTCTCCATTGCTCTGGCCTTCCCAGAATCATGCACAAAGTGCAGCTTAAACTCCAGGCCTGAATTGGCTTTGGTTAGGCACAGGCTTATTTCTATCATGGAATGACTTGAGACTTAAGCTAAAGATGGAGCTAGATTCAGCTCAGGATTTCAGTAAATCTGGATTTGCTAAGTCACTTGGATGGAATACCCCCCTGTGAATCCCAGCTTTGTTGCTTTGCTTAGTATTTTCTTTTTTTCCTACTATTTTGCTTATTGTGTCCATAGACCCAATGGGTGCTATTCACACATCACAAAATCAGAAGACATTTGGAAACAACTTCCTTTGGGCTCAGTTGGAGATAGGAACTGACAAAATCTGGGAAAACTGAGAAAATGGCCCAGTTTTCTTCATTTAGATGTCACTGTATTTTTATTTATTTTTAATTTTAATTTTGTTTCCTTTTATAAATTACCGATTTGTGTATAATTCGTCTAACTTCATGATAGAAAAAAGATGTCATTGCAGCCTTCCATTATGTTCAACCGATCAACAAAGTGACATCAAAGATGCGATTAGAGTCACATCCATCAAGGGATTATCAGACGTCACTTTGTGCTCTATTGTGCATGTCTCTTGCAGAAAGAGCCACTGTCCTGTCTGGTGTCATGCCAGTGTCTTGGAGGATTTCAGCACATTTTAGGCTTTCCCGGGGACTAGGCTGGTTGTATTAATCAGGTATGAGTGCATGTCCGACTAATAAAGTTTGAGCCATTTCTTCTCACCTGCATTTAATGCATTTGGGCCATTAAGACATATCCTGTTCACTAATGTTAATTTAGCATCATAACTTATTTTATCACACAGTGATAAACTGTGTGCTGACAACATCGCTAGCTAGCATTGCTACTTCATGTCATGCTTCATGTTAACTGCACAGACAGTGGCACTTTCTACTCTCAGGCTGCGCGTGCATCCGCTGTGTTGATAAACAAATTATCTAGTCTATACTACTTTGCTTTGATTTATAATAAAGACTGTAAATTATGGAACATGGCACTTGCCTTTGATATACTTACCTGTTTGCTTTTATACTGAGGTTAATTTCCTCAAACTAGATTTGGGGTGGCATTGTTGCAACACTTAAATTACTAATATTATTATAATATTATTATAATAAATAAAATTATTAATATAAAAAAAAAAAAGAAATTTAGAATTTTGAATCGGTCATCATGTTACCTGCTCAGATAGACAGAGAACAGAGGCTGTCCCAGCAGACCCTGTGCCACCATGTTCTTGAACACCGGCACCACATTGTCGGCGGCAATGGACTGGAAGGCCAGGCCCAGGATACCGTCTGCAGTCATCTCAGCCATAAACTCTGCCTCAGTGTGACTCAGCCCAAACACCTGATTACTCACGGTGATGCCGCCAACCTTAGGTAAACAAGTGAATTAGACATCAATGTTTCATGACATCAAGTTTGTTATAAGGTATGAGGATAAGTATTCATTAGAAGTAATAATCATAGTAGTTGTAGTAGAAGTTTCAGTAGTTGTAGAAGAACTTAGGGAAGTCAAAAATCAATAATTAGAACTAGACCTCAGAAAATCTAAATGAAACCATTTTCTGTCCGCTTTCTATAATGTGTAATTTTGGATAATAAAGTAGCAACTGATATAATGTCTACTTTGATTTAATAATAATAATCATTAGTAATCTACTGAATGGCACACAATGTTGCTTGAATACCCAAATGAGTATGCAATACTTGATTCAATACTTGAATCAAATGTGCAATTCAAATTACAAGCCTATCCCTAGCCTAAAATTATAGGAGAAATGTAATTTACTAGTCCCTCCTGTGGGTAGAGTTACCTCAACCACATCGCTGCCCAAATATCCAGTCATACTCCCAGTGCCGTACTGGATGGACAGAGACTGGCTTCCCCAAACGAAGGTGGACGACAGAGAGGGGTTGAATAGGTTGTGATTCACTGCATCAGTAAAAGAGGAGCAAAAGGAGACCATTTAAGTCTACAGTAAACTATTCTAATTATACAGTCAGCAGTAAGGGTTGGGAGATATGGAAAAAATGGCAAAAAAAAAAAAAATCTTTTTTGTTTGACAGAGTAGACCAATGGGAGGATTGGGACACAAATCATTTTATCGTCATATTGCCCAAATCCTATTAGTAGTAGTGTGAGACCTTAACATTAGATATGCTAATAAATTTGATTTTCAGCATGTTTCTTTCTGTGAGCCTTTGCTTAGTCACAGGAATCAATGAAATTTCCTATCAGTGTGTCACCATTACTTTGCAAACATTTGACTTGTTATATCATTTTCCAAATGTGTGCTATAGAGGTAGTACATACGGCAGGCTTTGCTGGTGGTGCAATAAATAGATGGGACCCACAGATTGGAGGAGCCAGTGTCAAAGATAACGATGAAGGACTGGGGCGGGGTGCCGATGGAGACAACACCGTAGTAGGACAGCTGTACAGAGCCAGTATTAAAAGTATTATAACAGATGATACCACAAACTGCTGCTGTGAAATATATATATGAACTGCACTCACATCTGCATCATTGGTCATTGACTCAACTCCAGTTAGCAGGAACTTGACCATTGGGTTGTACGGATGCTTTCGCCTGTATTCATCCCATTTACCCTTCTCCATCAGACGCTCACGGGCAGTCTTCCCCTTTATCAGTGGCATTCTAATCATAAAAACGACAACAATTTATTGCACTAGTGATGGATTAACAAATACATCTAAAACTAGATAAAGATTGTGTCATACAGTCTCTCAGTAAGATACTGACCTGTGGAGGCATTCGGAAAGAGCCACGAGGGCCAGGAGGACGATCCCTAGGCACTTCATCGTGTTGGGAGACTTCAATGTTGGACTCAGGTGAGTGAAGTAAGAACCACAGCTTTCGCCTCTTATATTCAACACACCAAGGTTGTATCTACACTGAGGTCTCATTCCAGTTTGATATGAAATCAGCTGGAGATTAAAACTAGGTGATACAGTAAAACATAAGTGCTTATCTATATCTTATCAAACCTTGTTAAACAAGTGATATTGTTTTGGCAGTAATTTAACGGAAATACACATTCATTCATTGTAGGTGTATGAAAGCTTAAGATGGTTACAGTTACAGTGTGTTCACCTGACTTTGAGAGTGTTTGTTTAATCTGATAAGGAAACTTTACTCTAATGTGAACCTCAGAGGAACACATTTTATAGTTAATACACATATTAAATTAATTATTAATTATTTTATGCTATAATATACACAATATATCGAGAATACATCAGTGCTAATATCAATATATTTGATCTTTATTGCTAAGCTATGTCAGTCCTATCAGTCAGTGCCCATGTGTTACTAGTTGGCTGGAACAATGAGCCAAATATTGAATACCAATATCAGCTGGAAAAAAACTAAAAACTCGGACCATTGCTACTTTTTAGCAACAGAATTAACAAAGATAATTCATGGCATTGTGTTTTTAATAGCACTTTTACATTTTAAAACAGTACACACTTTCATAATTAGCATATAGTGTGTATTAATTAGATCTTTTCGATATGCTCTACTCTCCCAGAGTCCTGTCTGTACTGGAAACAAATGCTTACACTCAGGGGCGGCTGGTATAATTTTGGGGGGGAGGCGCTGTATAGATTTATAAGGAATGCCAGAAACAGGCAGTCATTTTGATCACTATTGGCTGAACTATATCTATCAGAGCACAACGCACAGCCAAGCTCAAAGTTTACCCAGCGGCACAACCTGATCCACCCGCTCACACCCAGCCCTACCAACATCAGCAAAACTACAGTAAGAGGCTACAGTCATAACACAAACACAAGGCATCAGTGCCGCTCCTACAGCACACGACAGAGCAACCGGAGCAGCTCTGTTGCACCTACGAGCTCATTTATGCACTATTAACTATACCGGGGTTGAATTGGTTTGATATTGGATATTTGACAAATAAAGCTATTTGACTTGTGATGTATATTACCGATTCTTTTCAAACAACTTGTGATATACATCACAAGCTAAATGAGTGTTGAATTCACATATATGCATTCAATCAGCTCATAGTATGATCTTACATAGTATGATTCCAAGACATATTTCTGGGCTCTAATGTAAAGTAATAGGCAGAAGCATTACCTAAATTTTTTTCAAAACTTCAGGCTCTCCCATAAACTCAAATAAAGTGATAGGAGCACATTTAACATTATAAAAATATGTCTATGCAGATACACGTTCAACTTTAAAAATTTTTTTTTTTTTTTTAAATGAACATTTTCCATTCTCATTTGTTTATTTTCCTCTGTCAGAATAGTAAACAACTCAAAATTTACAAATAAACATTTCTGACATAAAAAAAATAAAAAATAAAAAAGTCTGTGAGTTTTTTGGTCTGTTGATGATCAACTTTTTGTGCAGCAGCAACCACAGCCTCTCAGACGCTGTTCAGAGAGGTACTGTTTTCCTTCACCGTAATTTAAGACTGGCCCAAGAGTTCTCAATAGGGTTAAGGTCAGGTGAGGAAGGGGTCCATGGCATTATTATTATTTTTTTTTATCTTAAGGCCTTGACTGTCTAGCCACACAGTGGAGTAGATGCATGAGATGGAGAAATGTCCTACGTAAAAACCATGCAGCCTTTTGAAAGATGCAGCATTTTTCTTGTACTGCTTGAAGAAAGTGTCTTGGTCTGGAATTCATTTTGAGTCCATCTTCAACCCAAAAAGGTCCAACAAGTTCATCTTTAATAATACCAGGCCATACCAGTATCCCACCTCCACCTTTCTGGTGTCTGAGTCGAAGTGGAGCTCTGTGCCCATTACTGATCCAGTCACATCCATCAAGAGTCACTCTTATCTCATCACCTTGTACTTCTGTTCACTCCAGGTAGGTTGCAGTTCTGGAGTATGACAGTGCTGGAGGATAATGGGTTCCTGGTAGCTTCATGTTTGAGTCTTCTCAAATCTCTTGCAGTTAATTTTTTTCTCAGCGTGTTTCTTGTGACACTGTTGACTATTTGCAACAAAATGTTTGATGGTTCTGTGATCACGTCCCAATATCTTTGCAATTTCACGAGTGCTGCATCTCTCTGAAAGACTTTTTTTTTATTTTTTGGTTTTCAGAGTGAGTTAAATCTCTTTTTTGGCTCATTTTGCCTGAGGAAAAGAAGCTGCCTAATAATTCTGCACACCTTAATATAGGGTGTTCATGTCCTTAGGCCACACCCTCCCTTGTTAGACCTGATATGCTTAAATCCAATAAGAATTCAAGTTTATACAGCTTAGAGAATATGCATAAAAATCATGATACGGTCAAAATGCCCACTTGCATAATAACTGTGCACATTATGTATCATTGTGTGACATTTTAACACAAGATAAAGAATTAAGGATAAATGATAAAAATGTTCCTCTAGTATCTTCCCCCACATTCAAGCAAAGACCTGTCTTTTGCAATGCTTTTATTTGATGTAATCTACCAATACAGATGCAGTCCACTTCCGTGTTTTACATGAAGAAGTTTAAGAGTCTCCAACAGACTACACAGACTTCGCCAAACCAACGCTCTTGTTCTGGATGTCAAAGATGGCGTAGTATTCCCTGATGAAGACATCTCCCAGGATCCAGAGTGGTTCAGTTCCGCCTTGACCAAAACCAGTGTAGCAACCGCTGGAGCTCTGTACAAAGGCGTAATAAAATCAATATTTTTTTTACTAGTGACTACAATATTCATACATTAAAAACAGAGGTACTCAAAATATGACCTATTTTTGCTGGGGCTTATGCTTCCTGTGAATTGTCCCAAATGATCCAAAATAGTAGGCTTTTTACTTTAATTTTTGAATAATGCTACTATAATATAATGCCTAAATAACCTACACTGTGACGTGACATAACTTTTTAAAAAGTGTGGTGGCTCAGTCAAACCTACATGAAATGCAACATTTTGAATGATTCACTTTGTCATCTTATTTATCGCAGTCTGTTTGATGCATGTTTATATGTGGGCCTCAGTGACAAAACTTTTGGACACCCCAGTTTAACAGTGAGTTTTTAAAGCAAAGTTCTCATGGCAAAGTTGTATTGAAATAATTGTCCCTGTGAAATGAATACAACAAATTCTGATTATAGTTTTAAAGGTGCATCATGTAACTTTTGTGATAGACAGTCAGCAACCTGCTTGTCTCCATGGAGATGGTTTTGCAATTGTTTTCACAATATGGCATTAAATTTAACAATCACCATAGAGACAAACAGGCCAGGTTGGTGAGACAGATCACAGAGTAGAAGTAGAATAAGTTGAAACAAACTAGTAATGGCATTCTACTGAACCAAGACTTAATCAGATCAAAATCAGATCAAGTCAAAACAAGTTCTAAACCAGAGGTAATTCATCTTAAATCCAAGTCTAAACTAGGATTTAACCAAGAATAGACATATAGCAGGTCTAAAAAGCCCATGAAAACTCATATTATTTAAACCTGGCTCTTTTTGTGTAGTTAAGATGAGTTCATAATTGTTAAGTGTTTTTACTTGAGTGATGTAGCCAGAGGCGGGGACAGAGAAGGAGATTCCATTCAGAGTGAAAGTAACATCAGGCAAGCTCTGGATGTTCTGGCAGTTCACCACAGCCTATAAAATGAAGCACAGAAGATCTCTGTATGAAAGACCTTTCATAGACTTTCCAACTCCACCTCAAGTTACCAGGTCCTATTAGTTATTCTCATTTGAAACTTTTGACATCAGAGTACAGATTTTTGCTTACTTTGGGTCCAGGAAAACGATGGAAAATTGTGGCTAGCGTTCCGGTATAATGGGATGACTCACCTCTCCATACTGGTTGAGTGATGCTCCGAGCCTGGAGTTGATTTTGTTGATGCCCGTGTTTGGTCCGACAATTAGGGAGGTGCCAGTGTCGATGATGGCCTGGCAGCCATCGGCACAGGCTACAATTTGTCCATTGATGGTCACACTTACAAAAAAAATAGGCCATATTAGTGAGATCAAGTGGTCCATGTTAGAGGTGGGTTTTCATTGGGTACCTGTCCATCTTAATCTGCCAGTAAGTAGCAGAGCTCAGGGGGATCCAGTGGATTGATCCAGTGTAGTAGCTGACATCAATTCCTCCAAAGATCACCTCACTGCCCTGCTGGTCATTGCTACAAGTGAAAAGTGTGACACATTAAACCGGACACATTATGTCAAATTAACTTGAGTTTTAACCTTGTAATAACACTGTTCCCTTATCATTACTGTACTCAAAGTTGTATTTCATGCATGTTGATGCCTGTTTCAGTTATCCTGTATCACCTGCATTCAAAGGTTGAATGCTGAGAAAAATTCAGTTTTCACCCAGTTCCTATCTCCGCTCATTCCTCTGTACTTAATTGAAAAAAATTCATAGTCCAGCTCATATAGTCTTTTTTCAACAATAAAAATAACTAAAGTAAAAATAAGCTGCTTGCTATGGTGACATACGGCAGAGCTCTCCATTCTGCAGTGACTTTTCTTATGAAGAGCATTTTGAGTATGTGTGATGTTACCTGCTCAGATAGACAGAGAACAGAGGCTGTCCCAGCAGACCCTGTGCCACCATGTTCTTGAACACCGGCACCACATTGTCCGCGGCAATGGACTGGAAGGCCAGGCCCAGGATACCGTCTGCAGTCATCTCAGCCATAAACTCTGCCTCAGTCTGACTCAGCCCAAACACCTGCTTCTTCACAGTGATGCCGCCAACCTAAGAAAGCAGAGGGGCAAGACTGGCTCAAAACTGAATCAACAACTGAATTAGACATCAATGTTTCATGACATCAAGTTTGTTATAAGGTATGAGGATAAGTATTCGTTAGAAGTAATAATCATAGTAGTTGTAGTAGAAGTTTCAGTAGTTGTAGAAGAACTTAGGGAAGTCAAAAATCAATAATTACAGAATGAACTAGACCTCAGAAAATCTAAATGAAACCATTTTCTGTCCGCTTTCTATAATGTGTAATTTTGGATAATAAAGTAGCAACTGATATGTCTACTTTGATTTAATAATAATAATCATTAGTAATCTACTGAATGGCACACAATGTTGCTTGAATACCCAAATGAGTATGCAATACTTGATTCAATACTTGAATCAAATGTGCAATTCAAATTACAAGCCTAATCCCTAGCCTAAAATTATAGGAGAAATGTAATTTACTAGTCCCTCCTGTGGGTAGAGTTACCTCAACCACATCGCTGCCCAAATATCCAGTCATACTCCCAGTGCCGTACTGGATGGACAGAGACTGGCCTCCCCAAACGAAGGTGGACGACAGAGAGGGGTGGAACAGTTTGTGATTCACTGCATCAGTAAAAGAGGAGCAAAAGGAGACCATTTAAGTCTACAGTAAACTATTCTAATTATACAGTCAGCAGTAAGGGTTGGGAGATATGGAAAAAATTAACATCTCAGGTTTCTTACATTGTAGATAATAAGTTCAGTTTTAAGACAACTCATATATACTCAGTATGACAGAGGTAGAACAATGGGAGGATCGGAACACAAATCATTTTATGTTTCTTTTTGTGAGCCTTTGCATACTGAAAGAAATCAATGACATTTCCTACCAGTGTGCCACCATTACTTTGCAAACATTTGACTTGTTATATCATTTTCCAAATGTGTGCTATAGAGGTAGTACATACGGCAGGCTTCGCTGGTGGTGCAGTAGACAGATGGGACCCACAGATTGGAGGAGCCAGTGTCAAAGATAACCGTGAAGGACTGGGGTGGGGTGCCGATGGAGACAACACCATAGTAGGACAGCTGTACAGAGCCAGTATTAAAAGTATTATAACAGATGATACCATAAATTGCTGCTGTGAAATATATATATGAACTGCACTCACATCAGCATCATTGGTCATTGACTCAACTCCAGTTAGCAGGAACTTGACCATTGGGTTGTACGGATGCTTTCGCCTGTATTCATCCCATTTACCCTTCTCCATCAGACGCTCACGGGCAGTCTTCCCCTTTATCAGTGGCATTCTAATCATAAAAACGACAACAATTTATTGCACTAGTGATGGATAAACAAGTACATCTAAAACTAGATATAGACTGTGCATACTGCCACTTTACAAGAGTCATCAGGACAAAGCACTGGACCTTGGGGGACCGAGCCTTCACTGCTTCTGCCCCCTCCCTCTGAACACACTCCCACAATCCATCAGGAACTCGGACTCACTGCGGCACTTCAAATCACATCTAAAAACTCACCTGTTTAAACTGGCATTCCCCCATTTTCTACAGTGTTACATTTTATTTGTTTGTAAAGCGTCTGCTCTGGGTAGTGACCGAAAGAACAAGATCGCGGATACAAGCAGTCGAAATGAGTTTCCTTCGCAGGGTGGCTGGGCGCTCCCTTAGAGATAGGGTGAGGAGCTCAGTCACAAGGGAGGAGCTCGGAGTAGAGCCTCTGCTCCTCCACGTCGAGAGGAGCCAGCTGAGGTGACTCGGGCATCTGTTCCGGATGCCTCCTGGACGCCTCCCTCGGGAGGTGTTCCGGGCATGTCCCACCGGGAGGAGGCCCCGGAGAAGACCCAGGACACGCTGGAGGGACTATGTCTCTCGGCTGGCCTGGGAACGCCTCGGGGTCTCCCCAGAGGAGCTGGAGGACGTGTCTGGGGTGAAGGAAGTCTGGGAGTCCCTGCTTAGACTGCTGCCCCCGCGACCCGGCCCCGGATAAGCGGAAGAAAATGGATGGATGGATGGGTAAAGCGTCTTTGAGTGTCCAAAAAAGCTCTATATAAGTCTGATTATTATTATTATTACTATTACTTATAGTCTGATCTTGACCCAGTGTGGTAGTCTATATCCACTATGACCAGCACACAAACGTTTGGACTGTTTGAGTTCTTGGGTTAAAGGTGCATTGTGTAACTTTTTGGTTGGGGTCCATCGCCTGCTTGTTTCCATGGATATGTCATTGCTGTGCCTGGAATTTCCACAGTATGACATTGAACAGCTTTACCTTACATTTATTCAATTACAGGTGGTTTTAAAGCTCAAAAATACCTAGAAAAACAGGCATTCTGACTGTGAGCCTCTCTACAGATCTGACTTGTAACTTGGTCTGGTATCGTCTCCATGATGATAAAGGTTTTAATGCCATACTGTCAAACATTCCAGACAAAGCTATACCATCTCTATAAAGAAAAGCATTTGATGGACCCTCCAGCAGAAAAGTTACACAATGCATCTTTAAAGGTGGTTTCTCTGCTCACCCAATCCTTTGGTGTCACCTGTGAAGCATGTTGGTGGTGTGTTCAGCAGTTATGGTTAAATTTTTTAAAAGATATGGCAACAGTTTAAGCAGTTTAGAAAGCTGTGTGCAGTCTCTCAGTAAGATGGGATACTGACCTGTGGAGGCATTCGGAAAGAGCCACGAGGGCCAGGAGGACGATCACTAGGCACTTCATCGTGTTGGGAGACTTCAATGTTGGACTCAGGTGAGTGACGTTAGAACCACAGCTTTCGCCTCTTATATTCAACACACCAAGGTTGTATCTACACTGAGGTCTCCTTCCAGTTTGATATGAAATCAGCTGGAGATTAAAACTAGGTGATACAGTAAAACATAAGTGCTTATCTATATCTTATCAAACCCATTTAAACAAGTGACATTGTTTTGGCAGTAATTTAACAGAAATACACATTCATTAATTGTAGGTGTATGAAAGCTTAAAAGTTACAGTGTGTTCACCTGACTTTGAGAGACTTTGTTTAATCTGATGAGGAAACTTTACTCTAATGTGAACCTCAGAGGAACACATTTTATAGTTAATACACATATTAAATTGTTTTATTCTTACGCAATAATATACACAATATATCGAGAATACATCGGTGCTAATATTAATACATTTGGTCTTTATTGCTAAGCTATGTCAGTCCTATCAGTCAGTGCCCATGTGTTCCCAGTTGGCTGGAACAATGAGCCAAATATTGAATACCAATATCAGCTGGAAAAAAACAAAAAAACTCACATAGAATTACCAAAGATAATTCATGGCATTGTGTTTTCTATAGAACTTTGACATTTTAAAACAGAGTACACAGTAAAGCCTATGGTTAGTGCTGGGGTTTTACAAAGGATAATCATAATGTGATACATAGCTTAATACTGCTCATGCAAACTGTTGTTCCTTGGTCTTGACAGGGTTTTTTTTATATTGAAAATAGATTATTATTTTAATTACATCAAATATATTCAAATCTGCTGCTTGCACTGTCTGTTGCAGTGCTTGTTTTTTAAGGAGCACTAAATTACTTGTGGTTATCAAATTTGCAACAAGAAATTGTTTTAATTTGCAATTTCTGCAGTGCATCGTAGCCCCTTACAGTAAATTATGCTGATAATAATGTAGACCTAAAATTAACCACGTGGTTCAGATAAGCGTTTTCAAAACATTCAAGAAGGTGACAACAAGAAGGTGAAGGTGTGTGCATATGCCCTTTCTTTTGTAACCACTAATCAGGTTTTTCTGAACACAGAGAAAAAAACACCCATAACACAATGTTATTAATGTTTTACTGTAATATAATTTATACACTTTTCTCTCTTTAAATTAGATGATTGTGAAAACAATAGCAGGTTTATTTTACACCAAAAATAAAGTGTCTAGTCTGAATGTGTGGCACTTTTGCTCATTGATGCAGTAGACTTTAGTGCATAGAGGCATGTGTCAGCGAGTTTCCAATGAGCTTTTCTTAAAAGTCTATGTTTTTGAAGTCCTCTGTGCATTTGTATTTGTTGTCGGCGTATCTTGTGCAGACCAGGTGAGGGAGGCAGGGGCAGGTGTGGTGCAGTCGTTTCCCATGATAGGGCACCTGAAATACAGAAAGCCAATATAAACCGAGGTGTAATCTGGCAGTTTAAACCTGTTCATCAAGAGCAGTGACAGCAAAGGGGCAGCTGTAAGAAAGCAGGTCTTTAAATGGCACATTTGACAGACGGATGTGGTGTTAGTCCTGATTCATAGCCCTGATTACCCTCTGACGATCAATAGCCTCTGCAGTTATCAGCATCTTTACCAAAGCTTTAGTAGTACCCTGCCAGCACGATTGCTTCTTTTGGGTCATAGGTATTTAAACAAGTTAGATAAATTTTATTTCAATTTAGTTACACTCATAATTAGCATATAGCGTATTAATTAGATCTTTCTGATATGTTCTAGTTTCCCAGAGTGCTGTCTGTACTGGAGACAAATGCTTACACTAGTCATCTTGCACAGTGAGGATTTAGAGCCAATTGACACATGCGGCATGGGCATGAGTGGCGAGTGCTCTTGCCTTACAGCAAAAAGGTTTTGGGTTCAACTCCCGTGTCACAAGGACCTTTTTGTGTGGAATTTGCACGTTTCTTCCTATGTCTGTTTCCACCGGGCACTCCGGTTTTCAACATCAACCCAAACCAGTCTAAGATTTGGAGATGGATCTGCTTCTCAGTTACCTGTCAGGAAGAAGTATTGAAGGATGGGTCAAACACAGAGGACAATTTCCTTATGTGAACAATAAAGGGCACCTTATAGTTACCTTACCTTATAATTAGATCAAATTATGCTTAACTAACAACTGAACCCACATTCTCCTAAAAATAAATTAATTAATGATAAATAAATGTAATGAGTCCTTGTAGAGCTATAGTGCATGAAGTATATCAAGACTCAAACTGAACAAAACACAGATAGCACAGACAGTACAGTCTTTACCTTGTGACTGAAAGGGTGGCACTCATCGCCCTCCACTCCTCTCGGGACACACATCCTGAGCCCCCTCAGCCACAAACTCACAGCACAGCACAGACCCAGCCCGCACTGAAGGTCCCGCTCACATGCCTGAAATACACAACATTTAAACATAATGAAATAATGGCACTTATGAACATACACTTGTGATCTGCTGCCCATCATTTCTATAATGTGATTAGTAATGACGATCAGTCCGGACCATGGCTTAATTTCCTCTAGAGTCCCTGAAGTGGAGGAGGATGTGGGCTCTGTCATCAGTCATTTATTATCCAATTAGAAATAATCAGCAGTTATATTGAGCTGCTGGACCTGAACTATTCAGATCACTTACAAATGAAAGTAAATGGTGACGTCAGTGCTTCGTCTACAGTACAATTAACATATTTAATTGACTGTGAACATTCTCAGATTGGCATTTCATTTCATTGGAACTTCACAGAATGTAGACATTGGTAACTCTCTTACTGCAGAATGAAAACGTCCATCGGAGGTAACACACCTAATTAATACAGCTGTAAGGAATTACTGATTACAACTATCAATAATTGAAGTTATCAATCAAATATATAAATATCTGTATTAGTTTGATAGCATGTTTTATTATGAAATTCTAATACTACGTTTTGTTAAATTCAACACAATGATCAATGTTAAACATGCTGATTACTAATATTGGTTACATTTGTGCACATGCTAATCCAATGTGATGTCCAGTTTGCTATGACAGTCAGATTTAAAAGCTGAACTGCAGCATCACATACAGGTGTAATTTTTGCTTTTGTTGATTACTTTTTCAGATTATTTTATTTATTTTGAACGACTAGTTTTCTTTGAGTCGTTTCTTTCTCTTCTTTAGCAACCTAACAAAGACTTCTAAGGTGCGCATGAGTCTATTTTATAGTGAGAACACAGAACATGCATGTGAACCAGGTAGGTCTGGACTCACCCCTGTGATGACGGCTGCTCTGGTCCAGTGGAGGGACAGCAGGAGCACGGACAGCAGCACGGCCCTGAAGCCCATCGCAGCAACAGGAGGAGAACTGGACTGGTATAGCTCAGATCAGATCCAGTCTGTGTTACACGCTTTTCCAAAACTAAAGGGGCAGCCACATAGCCCTCCCCTGCCTTTATCCACCTCGACCCCCCCACATCTCGCTGCCCCATCTTCCCACGCCCCTCTCTATCTCCTGGAAAGACTCAGTGCAAGCTCCCTTCACATGATGACGGTTGCAGGAGCTCAATCGTCACAAACTTACGTCAGCGTCAGTCAGGATAGTTAGGCAAGACAAATTGTGAAATCAACATTGACAACCTAAGGCCAGGTAAAAGTGTAATGCAGAACACACAGAAACAATTATTGTACTTGCTTAAATGCAGTTAATTGAAGTCATCATATTCAATATAGTATTTAACCTTTATATTTTTTTTATTTCTTTTTCAATTTTGGACCCAGCCACCCAAATAAAAGATGGCAGTACTTTATAAACTTTATTTATTACATCAGATTGCCTTAATAAATTGCCTCCAATTCACAAAGACATGTTCCTGCATAAAATTGGGGCTAAAGTAACTAGTCCGTGATGTGGAGGTGGACAGCTCAGTGCTGTGGTTAACAGGACAGATTTAATACTTGGTGTTACTGGAACACATGGGACCAGACTTGTATAGTTACATTCACTAAATTATGTGAAAACAACATATTAATTAGTATTTCTTTTACTGAAAGAGTAATCCAGCTGCCCTGACTCACATTATGTGTTTAAATAATGAAATACAGTACTGCACAATACGTCATTGGAAATTTTAAACTTTGTTGTTCTCTTCAATAAAAATAAAAATGGGCTACAGTGCAGAACATAGACAGAGCCAGAGCAATGACTACATCTGGCTCACACTTCTTTTATATTGTTGTCATTTTCAAAACCCATCTGCAGTAAATTCTACCACTTAATATATGCCAGGTTTCCTCTCGAACAGGATTTGGTCATCTGTTTAAATGGGACACATCCTTTAGAGAAACATTGGACGGTTTATGTGCTCGTGCAGCTGGGTGCTTGCCTACGTGCATGCTTGGACACAGTGACGAGGAAGAGTCTGTCAGCACCCACACCCCGGCTCTGATTTAAGGTTTGAGTGAGAAATATGAGAGAGAGAGGAGAGAGTGCAGTGTATCTCGAGGGCCAGTCAGCGGGCTGTACGCTAGTGTGCAGGTGATGGATCTCTGTGACGGCCGGGCCCATAATTACACCCCTCCAAACCTGCCCCGTCAGCAACCACCTCAGGACCATCCAACAGGAAGAGAAGCCTGCACACAACTTTGATATTAATTAACAACATCTACCAAAGTTTACAACAAGAGTCTTCTTATTTAAATACTAAGGTACATAAATAAAATATCAAAATTTTGCCTAAATACCATCAGATAATTAATTTTGATATTATGATAAAGCATAATCAGCTCTTACTCTTGTATTTTGTGACAAAATCTTCCTACAAATGACTACAGTGAACAAAGTTGTCAAAAGAGTAGGGTAGCATTTACCTGAGAGTTTAGAGGGCTCCTTAGTCATTTGATGGTGACCTTATGTGCTCTGGCACTGGATCATTAATAGGCCTATATTCACCGGAAAAATTAGCTCCTGTAATCTCATTCTGTATTTATGCAGTTCTAAATAATTAAATCAGAAAGTGACATGTGAACGTGAATTATGTACTAGGATGTGAAGAGGTGTTTTTAGTTAGCAATTTTATCAATACACACACTATAAATAGGCATTCTCAAGACTAAACAAATTTAATGTGGCAACTTGTAATATTTTATACCCATGGCAATTTAGTCATCAATTTTGTTTACTGGGTTGGTTGTAAAGGCTTATTATTTTCTTCACCATCTGACCTATTTCACACTTTCGTAACTTACCAGTATTACCCAAACGAACCTCGTGGGTTACGATGGGGGAGAGGAATCATGAGAGGAATCAATATTAATATTAAAAGACTAGTTCTGAATCACAGAATACATCAAATTGGCCTCTAAGCTCCTAGCACTGTAAGTCAAAACCGGATGTGCGCCACCGTCCGCCAAGATAAGGACTGCCCGAATAGTGCACTGAGTAAGGTAGGAGTTAGGAAAAGAGCTTGCATGCTTCCTTTCATTTAGCAGAGTAACCTCGGAAGATTCCTAACTGTGGCTCTTTCTCCTCTCTGCTTACTACTCTTGTTTGGTTGACTCTGTGATGTAGTTCCAAAGGTAAAGGAGTTAGGGGCTAGGAGCTATATACATATACATATACATATACATATACATATACATATACATATACATATACATATACATGTTCGCGGTTTCATTGTATATACCATGGCTCTATTGAAATAACATACCATAATATACATGTTCGCGTTTTCTTATTTCACAGATTCCGTAGATCACATGACAGTCAGCTGACTCTAACAGGAAGTAACGAGGAAGTGGTTCAAAACAACACACATTACACAACAAAACGCTTTTTCTTTCCACTTAGCCATGGAGTGGACTCTCGAGCAGCACTTGGATGATACGTAAGTTGATTCAAAACTGTGATAGTGGTTGTGCACATTATTTTCATTAAATTAAACCTGCTCCTCGTCTGTTTTACTTTGCAGGATGAAAAATCCCTCTGTGGTCGGAGTTCTCTGTACAGACCAACAAGGCCACAATCTCGGCTGTAAGATTTTATTATTACTTTTATTGTGTGGGATTTGTATGTTATATCCATATAATCTATTGGCCAAGTTTGCTTTTATATTACTATCATTAGTTACGTACCTTCTCTATTTAAAATGTTTTTGAAGCAGTATTCATTTTCCTAGTATTAACGTTTATTAGGTCTTTTTAGCACAATTTAATACACTTTAGAGGAACACCCTAATAATATCCAGACTCTAGAACCATCTCATCATGGTTATTTTTTCTAATTGCATGGCCAATACAACACTTGTCCACATTTTGCATTCTTAGAAGTATTATATATATATATATATATATATATATATATATATATATATATATATATATATATATATATATATATATATATATATATATATATATTGCACTACCTTTTATTCAAATAGTGAAAATACAAAGTAACATCAATAGTTGTTAAATTGTTAAAGCCAGGGGGGGATAAATACATATACTAACTTAATATACATACAATTACCAGCATTCTACAGTTAAAAGCTTTTGGGCTGTTACAAGGTTCTTTCTAAAATACACTGAATGCAGGTTTCTTGTTAACAAATTTACATTTATGTATAAAGTAGTTTACCATAATAATTACAAGGTTGAAAATATACAATTTATCTTTGCTCATTAGTCCAACTGTAGAAAGTCCATATATGATATGCAGGTTATACATATATTTTTTGCATAGTTGGGTTTCAATAAATAAACTCACATTTTTCCAAAACTGAGTTTTAAATGGGCAGTTCCAACATAAATGAGGTACAGTTTCGGGATTATTACCACAAAATGAACAATTTACATCTAGTGTCATGGGCTTCGCCCTAGGCCAATCAGAGAGATCTGTACAGTCAAAAAGCACAAACTAGCATCAAACAGTAATTTTCTTGATTTAGGTAGTTTCTTTTCTATTTTTCCATAAACCTTTTATTATGGTTGTAAAAGATTCTCTGTAACTTTTTGAGTGAAACACTGTTAAGTCTCAATGGAGATGTTATTTTTTTACCTGGAATGTCCCACAGTGCACCAGTAAATCTGTGGAGACAAGCAAGAGACGCCACCAGAGCAAGCTACTCACTGTAATGTATGCTGTTCAAGTAATTTTCGAACAATAAAAAAAACTTAAATGGAAGAAATGCAACATGGGTAAGGGCAATGCCATACTGTCGAGCATTTTAGGCAAAGCCTCCCAGGGTTAGGTAATAGGCCCTCCAAAAGAAAAGTTATATAGTGCACTTTTAATACACTTGGCGCAAGTAAAACCTCCAGGTTTATTATGAGATTTACAGAGGAAAAATGCATATGTACAACTACACTTTGAGTAAAACAAGAGAGAAGTATTTTTCGGACATTATTGGTAATTGCAGTAACAACTCTCGTGTCCTGTTTGCAACAGTGAACAGATTAACAAACCCTCCAGCTCCACTGCCACTAGAACTAATTTCCACATCTAAATGTAATGAGTTTGCAGTTTTCTTTAATGACAAAGTTCAGGGCATCAAAAATGCCATCAATTCCACAACACAAATAACAAGCATGCATCCACAGAGACACTTAGAGCTGAATCACTTTGCACCTGTAACTGACAAAACTGTTTTAGAGATCGTTACCAGTCTGAGTTCATCTACCTGCTGCCTGGACATGTTACCCACTAGATTTCTAAAGTCCGTCCTCAACAGTTTACTTTCACCACTCACTCACATAGTTAACATGTCACTACAATCTGGAACATTCCCAAACGCGTTGAAAACTGCGGTCATTAAGCCTCTCCTAAAGAAGAGCAGTCTTGATGCCACAGTACTGAACAATTTCCGACCCATCTCAAATCTGCCGTTTTTTGGCAAAGTCCTTGAAAAAGCTGTTTACCAACAGCTTACGAACTTTCTCCAAATGAACAACTCCTTTGATGTTTTCCAGTCAGGTTTTAGAGCCCACCACAGCACTGAGACTGCTCTTATCAAGGTGACAAATGACATCCGCCTGAACACTGACGCAGGCAAAGTCTCAGTCTTGATCCTGTTAGATCTTAGTGCTGCTTTTGACACTGTCGATCATGGGATCCTCTTACAGAGACTAGAGGACTGGGTGGGCATGTCTGGTACTGTACTAAACTGGTTCAAGTCCTATCTAGAAGACAGGAAGTATTTTTTGAAATTGGAAACTGTGTCTCATATCACATGGCCCTGACCTGTGGAGTGCCTCAGGGGTCAATCCTGGGCCCCTTGTTGTTCAATCTCTACATGCTGCCATTAGGCCAGTTAATAAGCAGCAATAACTTGTCCTACCACAATTATGCAGATGACACTCAGATCTACGTCTCTCTGGCAGCAGGAGACTATGGACCAGTGGAGTCACTTGGTCATTGCATCCAACAGATCAGTGTGGATGCAAAACAACTTTCTCCAGCTAAACTCTGACAAGACTGAAGTCATAGTGTTTGGTCCACAGAAACAAAGGGACAGTGTCAGCATCACCTCCAGTCTCTCTCTCTAAAACCTTCAAATCAGGCAAGAAATCTAGGGGTAATAATGGACTCAGATTTGAACTTTAACAGCCACATCAAATCAATAACATCTGCAGCCTTTTACCATCTAAAAACATAGCAAAAATCAAAGGTTTACTGTCTAAAGCAGACTTGGAGAAACTTATCCATGCGTTTGTCTCCAGTAGGTTAGACTACTGTAATGATCTGCTCACTGGTCTCTCCAAACGAGCTGTGAGACAGCTGCAGAACATCCAGAACGCTGCAGCTCGGGTCCTTACTCGAACTAGGAAGTACGAGCACATAAGTCCTGTGCTCAGGTCTCTGCACTGGCTTCCTGTGGCTCAGAGAATAGACTTTAAAGCAGCTCTGCTTGTGTACAAGTCTCTCCATGGCCGAGCACCAAAGTACATCTGTGACATGTTAGTGTCATATGAATCATCTCGCACTCTGAGGAGCTCAGGGACCGGCCTCCTGCTGGTGGACAGAGTCAGGACTAAACAAGGGGAGTCAGCGTTTCAGGTTCATGCAGCTAAAACCTGGAACATGTCAGACAGGCCTCTTCTGTGACGCTGTTTAAATCCAGGCTCAAAACATTTCTGTTTAACTGTGCATATAACTGAAAGGTTTTCATTCCGCACTCTTCTCTCCAATTTATGTCTCTCTTTTTTAATTTTAATCTTCATGATTATTTATGTTTTGATTTGTTTTTATTATGATTTTAATGTATTTCTTATTCTGTAAAGCACTTTGAATTACTTTGTGTACAAATTGTGCTATACAAATAAACTTGCCTTGCCTTGCCAAATATTTAACTGCTAATTTCTGTGCTCTTCCTGCCAGGCCGTGGTTCGCTGTCGGATGAGCACGGGGGAGTAGTGTCAGTTTTAGCCAAACAGGCTTCAGCTTTGACTCGAGATCCCACGGACACCCCTACAGTGTGCTTGGAGTCTGAGTCCGGGTAAGACACTGCTCTGTTTGATTGCAGCACTTCCAACACTATTGATAAATAAAGTCATTAGTACATAGTGGTCTGACTTTCACTTCAGAGTCTGTTACTGTGACAATGCTGCCACCTACTGGATGTTTCTTTCCTCACTCTCTAAAAAAACGTATGTGGTTCACTGGTTTCACCTTGAGCAATAATTCAGTTGGGAAAAAAACATACTGTAAATGGTTCACTTTAAGATAACTGTGCCATTTAATTTTACAGATTATAAATTGGGAAATTACACAGTTTGAACATTCAACTTGAATAAACTATTACATGATATATTGCCCTTTTTTGGGTTTTGTGTGATGCCTATGTTTGGCAAGTTCTGTGGCTCTTACAAATCTGATGCTTTCCAAGTACTTCATAATTCAAACCAAGTCTATTTTAGGACAATTCCAAGTTTAAACTAGGCATAAACCAGCTAACTGTGGGAGCACAGCACACCAGTGCTACAGTATTTTCTCAAAAGGACTAACTCAAAATATAGGTAACTTCTATAAATTAAACACCAGTGCCAACCAAAGGAGTTTGCCCTACCACAATTTGACATCCTCTAGTCTAAATATCTTTTGAAAATTCAATCTTCTGTTTTTTATCTTTTCAGAAACATCCTGATTAGGAGTCATGGGACCATCACAGTGGCAGTACATAAGATTGCTTCATGAAAAATCTATTAAAATGTCATAAAAAGATCAGCAAATGCAGTTGTGTGTGTGTGTGTGGTGTGCTCTGTAAAGTGTAAATAATACAGATTCATGGTTTATTCCTTTATAACACCTGAAATGTGTTTTATTTTTTATGTTGTTTCAAGTGGTTCTTTATCTGAGTGTGTTGAATAAAATCTGAAATTAGATTATTTGGCTGCACAGTTCTGATCTTTACATTTTACAGCTTGTTTGCGCTGTCAATACCACCTTGAAGCCTTTTGTATTTGTGTTTGTTTTGAGGCGAGGCTTTGCTGTCAAATCGGTGTCTGAGGCTGACACGGTACAAAGATAGCGCATGGGCGTATCCACTCTCAAGTTTTAAGTGTTTATCTTGTGCATTGTACAAGTGAATAACAAGCCCCTCTAATGAGCAAACAGACACCTCTCCTCTGCGGTGTCTCCTCCCATGCCTAAGTGCAGCATTGCATCTTGCTGGTTGGGGCACCTCCCTCCTCCAGGTCCCGACATAAGTAACTGCAGAGGTTTCTACTCCCTACTTTTCCCCTGGGCCCTCAGTTGAAGTTTGCGGCAGCTCGCTCGTTGGGTCACGTGTCCCCTCAGTGCTGTGGCCGCTGCGAGCGCCTCCTCAGTGCAGTCTGCCATGATGACGCTTTGAGAGGCGAGACCGGGAGCGCACGAGGACTCTGCACTAGAGGCCAGTTATGGCCCCTTCATCCCTGGACTGCAAAGCGCCTTTCGCAGCTCTTTCTCCGTGCCACAAGTTCCCACCGCGCATCTTCTCGTTTGAGTGCTGACTGCTGGTGTCGATTCAGGACGTGCAGCTCAAACGCACAAGTTTTCTTCTCAGTTAAAACTGGAGGTATGTTGATGACAGTAAGTTGGAGCAAGTATGAAGATTGTTTAAATTCGTTATTCAGTATTGTCCAGTGTTTTTTGCTCCTCTTAAGAAATGTGTTGGGCTACTTTAAAATAAGCTAATGTCAGTGTTATTTGGGACCTATTTATAAGCATGGTCAGGTTTCCTAAATTTGTTTCCTTGCCCAGGATAAATTTGACTGATGCAACAGGCCTGTCAAGTGCGGGTAACAGCCCAGTGATACACTAGTTGATTTGTATGCAAAAAAAAAAAAAAAAAGCTCTCAACACTTACTATATAATGTCAAAGAAAAATGTGTCATGTTCTGAGATCAGAATATAGGTGACAGGCCAGTTGTAAATTAAATGCACATTTAAATATTTTGGCCGACAGTTGTAGATTATTTATGTTGGAACCTGGCATCAGAATCCTGAAATCTGTTGAGCTAAGTGCCAAAATTAATGAGCAACTTACAGAAACCAATGTCATCTTCCTTGTATTTTATATTTTTAGTTTGTCTGAAATTTATAGCCTAGTAAGATGGGTTGACAAAGTAGCCTTGGATCTAAATATGTGGCCAAAATAAACCTGACCGGGGATTTCTAACAATTCCTGAAAATATGTTTGCTATAAAGTCATTTTTAATCTGTTCACCCAGAGACAGGGTTGAACCCATCTGCTCAGCCAGTGGTAAATGAGTACCAACAATAATGTAATGCTTTAAGGTGGATCGGGTTCTGCTAAGATCATCATTGTGTGCATATGTAAGGATTAAATACTCGTGGAGCACTAGATCTACTATGAGTATCAGTTACTTCGCTCTGTTTCAAAGATCTGTTACAGCACATCAGCTCTTTCTGTTAAGCCCTCCTTTTATTTTACATAAATGTTCACAATGTCAGAATAATGCTACATTTACAGAAGCATTGCAGTCAGATAATATTATGTATGTACCTTAGAATAATAATAGTTTATAATGCAATTGGGTATCATAAATTAGCACCTAACATAATTAAACAATTGGTTACACAAAAATCTCATCTCAACCCTGCAAATGCGTAATTACTTTTCACTCAGTGATCTTGGTTTGACCCACTTCACACCTAAGCTCTCAATCAAAAGCCAGCCTTCCACAGAAACTGTGTCAAACATTTTCATCTGTAAAGGTTGTAATAATTTACCTCACTTAAGTATGCACCACATGGTGAAGCTTCTCTCTAATGTATACATAATGTCTGATCCAATAACTTTTGTCTCGAAAAGTTTTATAATGTGCAGCTGTGCATAAAGCCATGTGCAGCCATCCAGCAGGAGGGGGCGCGGGTATTCTGGCTGTTGCAGGTGTGGAGGAGTCAGTACGGAGCGACATCTGGCTCCAACTAAAGTTTGTAGATCAGTTTTCCAAGGTGTAATGGCATAGAAAGAGGGCAAAGAATTTAGGGTAAGGCAATTATTGGAACCAAGTGGAGATTTGTTTTCAGTTTTTGACACAACTTAATAAACTAATTACTAAACTACAGGTGTTTGGCGCTAGCAAATTTCAAATTGTTATAACCCAGCTCGCTAGGGTCAGGGACGTAACGAAAACCAAGATGGAAAAATAGTACAAATAAAGGAATAATTTAATAAACAGCAATGTAAAAGGAATGTAAAATATAAAATAAAATAAAAAGAAAAAAGAAAAGAAAAAAATCAAGAACCAGGACTCTCAGTGCAGAATGAGAACAGCAAAGAAATTAAAACACACACAAAACAAGGTAGAGCACTGAAGGCCTGGGCTGTAATGCAAATAAATTGATATTTGTCTTGTCAGAAAATTCGCAATGAGATATTTTTCAAAAGATTGTGCAGCTCCACCTTGTTGATTCTGATGTTTGTCTTCACAATCCCTTGCTCTTCTGACTGTCCACCTTCTTCCCTGGAGCCAGCACCGTTTTGTTCCTTACTGGTCCTGGTCTCAGTCTACATGCTGTTTATAGTTTCTCACTTTTTGTTTGCCTATTTTTTTTTATCTTACATCCCTGTGGTTTGTTTGTCACCATTGTCTGATTTTATCATTTCAGGTGACCCAACATTTTGCTGCATAATTTCAGGAGAATGAGAAGAAGTTGCTCTTGATCTCTACTTCTTTAAGGCCCAATCCACAAACAGGTAAGTGGAATTCTGCACTTAACTGTTACACTGTGGTCATCTTTGAGGAGTGAGTTAAAAAAACGCTTGTAAGGAAGACCCCATAAAATCCCTTATGCTTTTAGACTGCAGGGCGCCACTCATTTAACACAATTAGTTGCAGTAAAAGTAGTAAACATTGCAAAAGAAGGGTTGTCAGGCTTCTTTTTAAGAAATGTTCACATATTTTACATATTTCACATAACATTTAAAAAAAGGTGTAGTTCTTTTAACATATTTATTATTGTTTATTAGCCAGACTCTTGCCCCCTTCATATTAATTTTATATATTTTTTTTATTTATGTATTTATTCAGTTAAATAAAAATCAAAACTTTATTTATAAAGCGCTTTTCATTCAAAATGTAACAAAAAGTGCTTTACAGTGATTAAAAACAATTCCACATTTCCCCGACCCCACACAACCAAACAACCCAGACACACACACACACATTAACATGGTAAAATACACAAAACAACACCTAGTATATTATGAGGCTGAATACAGGCAAACCAGTTGAGAAAGTGCCATCAGGGGAGCTGTGTACATCAGGAGCAGAGAACCATCCGCCCCCACCAGGAACCACCACAGCGTCCAGGGGAGAGATGAGGCCCAAGCACCATCCCTCCACCAGAAGCCCACGGGACAGACCCTGGCAGCCACAGCCAACCTCTGCTCCTGATGCAGAGGACTCCTACAAAGGAAAGCCCAATGAAATTACCAGACTCTTCTTTTCATGGGAGGCCAGACACAAACCAACATAAAACAATGTTAAAAGTAGGTACAATACAGAGGCTTATTACCACTCCTTCCCCTTTTTTAAATCTTTGTTCTTGTATTGGGCAGACCATGTATTTCCCTTTGAACTCTGAAATATTGTGTAGCAATGATAAGGAAAAGCCTACTGAGAAGATTGTGCATGGTTGATTCCTATTCAAAAATCGTGTCTCCCCTCAACTCACCTCATCAGGTTTTGTGAGTCTAAGCAGAGACATAGGAGACACAAGAATTTTCCCACCTGATTTAGTTGATGAATGGTAGTTGGTAAATCTCAAAAGGACAAGACTGGTTGGTTGTGACTTTTACCTCAGTGTAGAATGCCTGGAGATTTACTGTTGACCTCTGATTTTTTGTGTTGGTAAAGTTAATTACCACAGTGAGGTTTACAGCCCAAAAAAGTGTGTCAATCCTAGAAAATACAACAAATTCATGTTTAGAAAAGCATGATGAGAATGCCTTGTGTTCTTCTTAAAACATTTATGAACAGCCACATTACCTTCCACTATGTGGGACAGAAATACAAATAGTTTTGCACCAAGGAGACCAAAATATTACCACTACAAGTCTGGTCAAGTCTGCAGTTTTGACTTCACACGAAAGCATATTAGTTTAGTGTTCTGCTGTTAGACATGCTGACCAACATTCGGGGCCTTTAGGAAACCTTTTCACCATGATAAATATTTAATGTCACATTTGTCATCTGCTACTGGTAAAACAGGTTTTGCATTGGTCTGTAATCATGTATTTCAGGCCCTGAAGGATCAGTCACAATCAAATAAAAAATGCAGTTTGGATGCTCTTAGGAAAATTTCAAATGTTACAATTACCATAATGCCAGAATTTCCTCCACAAACAACAAAGTATCCTGTCTTATTATGCATACAAACTACTAACCCTGTAGTAGTTTAGATCTGTACAAACATGTTCGGAGATACATGTGATTCCTCTATTACTTTGTCAATAGGCATATTTGATGCATTTAAAATGTGAATTTTGAACAGAATCCAGTAATTCATACTTTTAAATCGCAAATCTAATTGCAATCACAATGCTTGTCAGAAACAACTGATATTTTTCCCAAACCATTCAACTCTAATGTTTTTGATTTTGGAAGGAACTAGTCCAAAACATGTAACTGAGAAAACAGGCGGGCAGGATTATGCTGATAAGGTTTATAGGTTAAAGTTTATAAGGGTCACATATTTGAAGTGCCCAGGTGTGTAGCGCTGTCTTGGAATTGGGGGGGTGTTTTGTTGATGCTCAGATCCTGATGAGCAGGAACTCTGAGGACAACCTGTGAACAGCACATGGGGAAATAGTTTCCTCACAGTACACTGGCCCAATTCATTCACTTTTAATCCGCTCTGTGCCCCTGACTGCTTTGGTCCTGGCTCCTTATACATAGTCACACTGAGGTGTGCTTTTGACATTTTAAAACATACACTCAGTGATAATAACATTCAAGCCATCTTTATTCTTTAATACTTTTTGATTCAACAATGACAACTATCTAACCCTCTTTTATCATTTAAAAAGATGCGTATGTAGCATTAGTGTTGGAGGCCATTGCTTTTTTCCTTTTTTCAGATAAAGATTACACTGTTCATTTTTCTTACTAGTAGATTCTGACAAAACTTTAAAAGGGAAACTAAATATATGAGTAAATTAAATTATATATTTGTTAATGAGAACAGAAATAAACAACGGGTTCAAGTGGGGACAAGATAACTCTTAGAGAATTTGAATATAATTTATTCAAGAGCTCAGTCTAGTGCTTTGTACGGGTGGTAGAAGGCAGCAACATGTGGTAGCAGTGTAATATCACCGTTGAAGTTGAATTTTTAAAAAATCTGAGTTTTCGACTGCGATGCTGAGACGACAGAAACTTATTATTAGTTTCTGTCATTAGTTGTTATTAGTAGCTTGGTCCAATGACACTTCTCTAACTTTTTAGCAAATAATCAATTTCTATTATTTAGTAATATAGTTAATATTCCAGTGTGTAAATGAGCATTATTACACCTGCCAATATGAAAGTCATCAGTCAGATGCCAATGCCTGTGACTGGTAAAGCTTTCCTGCGTTCAAAGTTCTCTAATCCCTAAGAATGTGAATTTAAATGAATTCTATGTTAGCACTACTAACAATAGTCAAACGTTGTACTTATATAGTCACAGGCACTCTGTATAACTCACTATAATTGTGCAAATATTAAATAACACATTAAATGAGACATTAAGAGGGATTATGTAGATAACTATGTACTACACTTTGTACTACACTACTTACTGTATAGTGACTGATTAGAATAATTTGTATCAGTAACAAAAGAGTGACTACAGACTGTCGGTTGAATCAGTAGAAGAGCCCTGAGACTTGCCTCATAACATTTTTGCACTGTTGCAACCACAGATGTACTTACAGCAAACACTAATGGTGCTTTTAGTCTTGTGCATTAGCTGCAACGGATGCAAGAGTTCAGCCAAGATAATTGATTAATCATAAAAAATACATACATTTCTGACATTGTGTACAATACTTTATATATATATATATATATATATATATATATATATATATATATTTATATTTTTTATTTTATTTTTTTTTTTTTTTTGCTTTTTAGTAATCTGGAGGCAACAATGAACCTTTTCAGGAAAGACGCCATGAGCTCCAAGAAGGAGAAGGTGGTCCAGTATGAAGACCCTCCGGATGGTGGCTGGGGATGGTTGGTTGTGCTGCACTGTTTCCTGGTGTGTATACTCACTTACCTTGTGTGTATACTTTATTTAATCTGTATTATTTCTTGGTCTGGATAAACTAAAAGTGAGTATGTATTCTGTGTTCCAAATGCAGGTGAATGTCCTTGTTATGGGCACACTGAAGACATTTGGCATTTTCTTTGTGGCTTTCCAAGATGAGTTTGGGGGCTCAGCAGAGAGCATCAGTTGGATCGGCTCCATAATGTCTTGCCTTCGACTCTCTGGAGGTACATTTACGCTTCATTACATTTTACTATTTTCAAATCTGTTGTGACTTTAAAATGATTCCTAATAATTCCTCTCTTCCGTAAAGCACCCATTGCATCAGTAGCCTGTGCCAAAGTGGGCACCAGGGTGACCTCCATCACTGGAGCCCTGATGGTCAGTGGGGGCTTCTTCTTGAGTATCTTTGCCAACAGTGTTGTGTACCTCTACATGACCATGGGAGTTGTAGTTGGTGAGTGATTTACACACTGTATAGCTAAAAAAAAGTTTTCCATCCATGCTGCAGTAATAACACTTTAACTGTTAGGAATAGGCTTTGCACTTCTATACCAGTCCTTCTCAGTTGTCACGGCGATGTACTTTAAGAAACGTTTGGCAACAGCATACGCTATAGGCCGATGTGGGATGGGTCTGACATTTGGTCTGGCTCCTTTCACACAGCTGCTTTTGGACCAGTATGCGTGGCAAGGTACCACCACCCCTGTGATAGACTGTTGATATAAGGTACGACTGTAGTATCCTAAGCTCTCTGTGTTCCACAGGGGCATTGCTGATTCTTGGAGGTCTGATGCTGAACCTGGTGGCCACTGGGATGTTACTGAGACCCATTAAAGTGAAGTCAGCTGCCACCAACACCTCAGTCCAAACGAGCCCAGCCCTGTCTCTTCGGAGCGCCTCGGAGAAGGACTGCTCTAAAAGCTATGTGAATGGATCTTTGTCCAGTGGAGTGTCCTCAAACGGCGTCTCCCCTAAAAGAACCTCCAGGTGCCCCCCTCCTTCCCCTGGGCCTACCATAGACTATTATCAGAAACAAGGCCCTCTTGACCCGGTAAAGCCTGAGCTGAACCCACTGGTCCTAAATGGAGCGAATGGTCATGAACCCCATGCGGAAAAGTGCTCTCCTCCAGACACCGCTGAACTCAATAGCAGCCTGAATGGAACCACAATAGCAGGACTGCCTTCCCACACCAGTATACCCACAGAGGTAACCGGCAAAGAGGCCAAAGTACTGGACTGGTCACTGCTTAAAGACCCTTTCTTTTGCATCTTCACCTGGTCCGTAGTCTTCAGTCAGCTGGCCTATTTCATCCCATATTTTCACTTATCGGCTCGCGCCAGGGACCTGGGCATCGATGCCATGGATGCTTCCTTCATCATCTCTGTTGCAGGTGAGCCTCACAATCTTCTAACTCAACATCAGTATCTACAAGTTAAGGTTTAAGTGTTAAGCTCACACCCATGGGTGCTGGCACAGACAGGTTTGTGGTGCAGTGGGAGTGACCGGGGGAGGTCCTTATGTCAGCTGAGATGGGGGAACATGCAAAAACTCCTTAACTTTGAGGCATTAATAATAAGTGAGCTGCTCAGACTGCAGTCTTATGTAATGAATGTGCTGCTTACATAAATGTTGAACTTTGGTCCACTGGTCAGAGCTGGTGAGTTCAGCTGTGTGCCACTGATGAGGCCCCTCAGTGTGAATGTCATAGAAGTGTGTGCGAACGCGTGCTTGGGATTTACTCAAATGTTAACATCCATGGAAAGTCAGGTATGCATGTTCTCCTACATAATTCACTATTTGGTCATTTCTAATCAGCATTTTCAATGCAGCTTAATATATAATAAATGACATTCAGTTGTTCAACAGCCTAATAAAACTAACATATAAAATACCTACCTATTATTACATTTTTACGACATGTAATTTCCTTCTGAGACCCGGCCCATTCATTTGTGTCCTTTATAGTGGATGTGTTAACCAATCAATCTTTAAGTGTTTTGAGATAGACTCTTAATTCCTGTTGAATTTTGTAGAGCACGCCTAGGGCTTTCTGCTGATATGTGATTTGTTTGGCTGTGACTTTTGGAACCGCCTTTATATATAAAAGAAAATCTTTTCCATGTATCCTATATACAAGGAAAATATCTTTTATTTATACCATTTTAAACATATTTTTTAATACATTTTTCATATGTATTTGTGGAACTTATTTTTGTAGCTAACAGAATCGAACAGAAGGATTTCTCCACTGAATTACTGAGGTAGATTGTGATTCTGACTTTTTGAATGATGAGAAAAATGAGTAGCACATCAGCCTGCAGTTTAGAGAAGTTTTCAGAACCCAGATGGAGACAGATTCAGAAGGACAAACATCACTCACTGCAGCTTTACAACTTCAGATAACAAAGCTTTAATTATTCTTTGGCCAAAAGAAGGCAACTCAGGCCATCCTAAACTAGTTTGGACATTGCGTTTTGGATTGGACATGTCCTGCATCAAACATGAATCACTGTTTTGAGAAATAGCTGACCAGTGTAATCCTGTACTCATCTGAGTCCTTCGGATTTGTATGGGAGTATAGGAGCTCAGTCACCAATGGGCTCCTGCTTGGCTCTCTCTAAGGCCAGTTTCCTCTGATGGTTCCCTTTGGTTGGAGAACCAGATCAGGCTTGTTCCTGTGTTTTTAAAAAGAGGCTATATGTTTCCAAATCAGGACCAATCTGCAGAATTCACCACAAAGGGACTCGCAAAGGTGTAGAACCATCACAGCAATGATTGTGGGTGTTTGTACTCTAGGAACCTTTTACAGTTCCTTTTTAGTAGCCTAGTATTTTCATACTTAAAGTGCTGCAGTATACTTGTAAAGGGAGAAACTATAGCACCACTGTTTTTTTTTATTTTTATTTTCTACTGTTTAGTGACATTCATACTGAGAAATGTATGTACCGCACACAATGCCTTAACATATGCTTTAGTCTTTCACATTTGCTTATTTGAACACTTGTGCACTGGACAAATAGACAAATATAAAAATGATTAATATATATATATATATATATATATATATATATATATATATATATATATATATATATATATATATATGTATATGTATGTATGTATGTGTGTGTGTGTATATATATATATATATATATATATATATATATATACATACATACATACACACATATACATATGCCCGCCGGCCCCGGGTGTCGGAGCCTGCGGCCGAACCAGCGGCTCGCGGAGGCTCGGGCACGTTGCATCTCACGCGGTCAGAAAAAAATAAAAAGCCAGAAAAAAATAAAATAAAATAAATACATAATAAAAACTGCGTTAACGGCGTTAAAATAATTGTCGGCGTTAATGACTTAATTAGTTAACGCGTTAACATGCCCGGCCCTAATATATATATATATATATAGAGAGAGAGAGAGAGAGAGAGAGAGAGAGTGAGTGCAATACACTTATTTTCTTACAGTCCCAGGAGGATCTACAGTATTTTCATAACTGGAAATATTTTTTTTTTCTTATTGGGCCTCATTCATGGATCTTTCTTAAAAAAAAAAAAAAAAGGTTTGCAACAAGATGCTGAGAGATCTCTGTGCCTGATTCACAAAGCGTTCTTAAGCTCCCAAATTACTTCTTATGTGGCAGTTGCACCACAAATATTTCACCAACAACTAGATATGAACACCACAATGCTCATTTACATTTCATTTACATTTCATTTATACAAAAATGTATATGTATTTAGCTAGAAATGCCCTTTGAATTTCCAAATATGGCCAATATGGACCTGGCATTATGCCACGTGAAAACGCGAGGAAGAGTGATGAGGAGGTCAGGTGGAGCGTCCACAGACTGCGGCTATTTTACAGCTTCAGCTATGATTTCAAATGTCCAAACTCACATGAACACACTTAGGGAGGGAAGATTTAGGGGGTACATAAAAGTGCGCTCTGGTCATGGGGATCACGGGGGATTCACAAAACATTTTCAGTTTTGTGTGTGTGTGTGTGTGTGTGTCATAAGAACGTTTCATGAATGAGGCCCATTATTACTATTACAGAATATTGCTGCTATAATATGCACTGCTTGAAAATATTATATTTTTGTCTTGTGCTATTGGTTCACATGGAAACATCAAAATGATAATATCGGCATGGTTATCAAAACATCCACTAGTACATCTTGAATACCCCTCATAAACTCTCGGCTGTCAATGGGACTAAGCCGGTTTTAATTCAGACATGTTGGTGTTGCCATGTGAGCTTTTAGAGGACTGAACAGAGAGAGAGCAGTGGACACAGCGGGGCACCTCCAGCACAAAGCCCCACTCCATATCCCGCTGTGGCCCACTGTCTCCTCACTCTCTGGGACAGCTCTGGTCATGGAGGCCCATTGACTGTGCTGCTGATGCATGGGGGTGCTATCGTCCGTACGGCCTCCTCCTAAACCTTCATCCTCTCCCTGTGAAGCTACCACTGTCACTAAGCAACCAGCATGGGGGGGGGGATATTTTGGAAATATTCTGTGTACAAGCTCTGTGACTAGGTTCACTATCATATTAACGTGTCACTGTCGATATATGCTAAAATAAATTGAAAGCTCTGCAATCGACATTGGAGACTAAAACAAATTAAATGTTTTGAAATAATTTGACAAAATAAATTTGACATTTAGCTTACCAAATTAGCCAATACATTATGATTATTACAACACTGTTTTACTATCTATGACAGTGTCAGCTGAGTTCAACATATTTGTGAAAAGCCAGTTAGTCCGGTGTTTCTGCTGAGCTGATGCTCATATTTGTATACAGATGTGTGATCTGTAAGTGCATTTTAAAGTGGTGGGGCTGTAGGGTAGGGCCTTAGGCACAGCTGTAGACATGGAAGAGCCTGCTGAGCTTAAACACATAAACAAAGTGTATGAGACTCCACAGGCGCGGGCCAGCCTGGAGCACAGAAAAACACTGCACAGCTGCCTCTGCTGTGTCCCCCAGACCCACTCAGCCAAAGGTGTCACCCAAACTGCTGCATTACATAAGACATGTAGCAGTACTGAGCAGAGCCTTGTTGGAAATTATTTCAACTTACTTAAAGTAATCAAAAATAAAGATAGTTCATATTATTTAGTTATATCAGAAATACTATATTTTGTTTTAAACAAAGCCATATTTGCAGGGGTTGGTAAGTTAGATGACTGAGCAGTGAAACACGTGCACTCATGGTTAATTAATGCTTACTTGTCAGCCAGTCACAAAAGGACACAGGCTTTGGGTAAAAATAGAAGTAGAATTCACTGGTCTCCTCCAATGTTACTGCAGTATCTAAATTTAGCCTATTTGCTCCTGTGTTTTGGTGCAAAGGCTGAAGGGATGGGTGACACAGGTCTGCCTAGAACCAGTTTGTTTCATTGATCTGGGGCTCGGTGTTGCATGCCTGGAGCTATTTCTGCAGCAGTCAATACAGCGCTGCAAGTTCCGCATCGCCTCTCACGTTCCCGGTGACCTCAGCACAGAAGGCTGCAGACGCTATGAGCCTTCTCTGTCATCTCAGTCTGCAATTGACAGCATGGTTCTTGTACCTCGGAGAGAGGATATCTTCTGAAGGCTAGACTAGACCTGTTTTATGCATGAAGATGGACTGGCACAATGTGAGGATTAAAACTGAATGTAGCTGTAATATTAGTAGTGGTAGTGGTAGTGGTAGTAGTAGTAGTAGTAGTAGTAGTAGTAGTAGTAGTAGTAGTAGTACAGACCCATCAGACTCAGAAACAGGTTTCCCATAGCTCAAAGCGTGTCTCCTGGGGGCAAATGTACACTTGACTTTGCTTTGACTTTGAATCTTAATGTGAACCACCACATTTTTCTTCCTTGAGCATGGAAACATATAACATAGAACAAATAGTGTGTGCTCACAGTTGTACTGTTTTTTTCTGAGTTAGCCATGGTTTAATCCTGATAGAGTCCAGGTTTAGTTCCTGTGGTATGTGTACAAATGTAAACGCACCCTATAATGTGGAGTGGACTATATTTAAGGAAATATACAAGTTCAGTGCTCATGGTCACTAGGGACATGTCCCTGCCTCTCTGTAGTATCATTGTAATTTTATACAAATTCTTAGACATGCTCACCCAGTATGGCCATTAACACAACATAAGTATTTGTAACACTAAAGATTATAGCCATCCTCTCATCAAATGTATCCAAACTATATTTTTCTAGAACCATTCTTCCCTTGATCTTCCCATAACCCCCATTTGGAAACCACTATCACAGTTGTGACTCCCAAAACACTATTTTTATGCTCATATATATTTTAAGTACGGATGAGCTTTATATCGATAAATGGTGAAATAGTGCATGGTTCTGCAATGCAAAGATATGCAAAGTATATTTTTCCAGCAAAAAGAGCTGAATTAAAAATAAAATGAACAGAAACAAGTGTATAAAGTGATATTTCTGCACTTTTTGGTTAATTGTATGGTGCATTCACTTTTCATGCAATACTATAAACAAGACATTTACCAGCACATGTCTGATGATTGTCAATATTACTCACCTCCTCTCTTAAGTCAAATTTCTAAATTATAAATGTGCTTTGAAATATTCAAGGAAGCTTTATTTAAGGATGAGATGTGAGGAGACGGTCCCAGTTTTTTGGGGCCATCCAACCTCCATTACCAGAGCAGCCTGCTGTAGCAACCTGAATATTTCATTGTGTTATCTCTCACTATGACTTCAGACCCTTCCCATTACATTTACTAAGCAACCTTCATACTCAACAACCATCTCAACTTTAAAAAGTCTAGTCAGAAAGCATAATGAGCTCTTCACATTGGGTTGCCTGTTTGTAAAATTAAAACCAGTTGGAAATATATCTTAAAGACCTTTCTCTGGCAACTCTGATTCAGTTGTGGCTGTGGTTTCTTTGTTAAAAGAGTGCATCCAACATGGCTTACCTTTAAAGCTGTATTTACAATTGTCACTCTTTTTATCAAACTCAAAAAGAAAAGAAGAAGAGGGAAGAAAAGACTAAAGTGCAGGTTGCAATGTTGTTCCACAATCTTTGAGTTGATATGAAATTAGTAGGGACATAGGGAACTAATCTTCTCTTGTTTTTTTTTTATTTGGTGGATACTAAAATATCCTCTCCTTGCATTTGTTTTATATAATTAACGTTAACATATGAAGAATGCTATGTAAAGATGTGCCTGATAACTATCTTTCTAAGTCTCTTATCCAACAGCCATTTCTGTGTGTGTTTCAGGTATTACAGAGACCTTTGCTCAGCTGGCTTCAGGTTGGGTCACTGACAGAAACCTGTTTCACAAGTACCACTACCACAAAGCCTACCTGATCCTGTGTGGGCTTGTCAACCTGATAATGCCTCTAGCAACCTCCTACATCCTGCTCATGGTGTATGCCGTCTTTTTCGCCCTCTTCTGTGGGGGATACATGGCGCTGCTGCTGCCCGTCCTGGTACTTGACACTTCACATTTAAGTACATTAGCTGTATGTGGTGAAATAGTTGTTTAAATAGTTAAGTTTTTAAAGTTGTATTCAGAATACTTTGCATGACTTTATTATGTATGTTACGCTTAAACTGCACAGTATTAAAAACAAAAAATGTATAACAGGTGGGGCAACAAACATAAAACTGTTTATATTCTTATGTCACATTTTTACACTATAATATAATAATGCAGCTCACTGTGAAAGGATTCAGAATACATTACTCTGATTGGGCTATGTAATAGAATTTGTTATAGGATATTTTTTATTGCAGGTATGCAATATTTGGTAGATAAATATGTCCAGCAGTAACTAATAATGTCATGCCATAGTTGGGGGTATGTACTGTACCTGTATAAACATGAATGTTATTGTGAGGACTCTACGCCATCGTGGACCATGGTTTGTAGCCAAAGAGTCCAGAGAGACTGATGGCTGTGCAGCTGAATTAATTTTAGCTGAGATCAAGTTTACTAGTTTTGAGATTCCTTTAATGTAATCATCTTGGGTCATTTTATTCAAGAGGATGACACCCAATCCTCTGTCAGTAAAAGCACGGGGTCTGGAGTTCAGACTTTGGAGGAAGAAATTTAACCATTTTCATGTTAAACAGCAACAGTTAAAACTTTAAATAATTTATGTTTAAGAAATTAAGATTGAATCCATGATTAATTATTTTGCAATTACTCTAAATCATAAAGAGGAGTAGTTATGTAAATGGTGAAATAACTTTATTTTATTTATATATCTGGTTTATTTAACAGGGACAATGTACATTAATCAACATTTCTGTAAATGTACCAGAATTAGCCAGAGAGGCTATTTTCCATCTGTAGTCCCTGGACAGATGATAAACATGGTCACCCTAAAAACTAGAAATTACATTTTCCGCCACTGTTGGGTTCTTTATGACTTACAATGCTCAGCAGGAGAGAGTAGTTAAAGGATGTTTAACTTCACACACTTCCGGCCCGTTTGCTCCACTCCCCTCAGAGGGTGGAGAAGCTTTAAACCTCTACAAGACAGAGCTAGTTTTCCTGAAGGCAAGGCAAATAAACCACCATAACGCAAGCCCTGAGATGTAGTCATGGTGTAAGAGTTTCTAATTTTACTTCCTGGTTGGAGATGGGCAGAAAATGTGACATACATAGAAGTAATTTCATAACTTGTCTAAATAACACAATAATTATGATGTGACTATTGAAGTATTCCTTGTGCTTAAAGTGCTGCTGCATTTTAGATGGAATTTTATGCATTGATTACATAGTCAAACTGAACACTCTGTTCCACCTTGTGATGTCAAGTGGTAATACAGGAAGTGCTCTACTATGTTTTTAAACTGTACACACTTTCACTAGAATAATTTAGATCATTTCAGACTTTGCCAATCTCTAAAGGTAAAATGTAACTGTGAACTTGAAAACTACTACTACATGACATCACAAGGTGGTAAAGAGGTTTTTAGATGTAGACAGACGAATATTAAAGGATTACTCAAACATGCGTGAATGACACAAATTTTGCATAATATAAGACCTTTAAAATATGATTCAAAATCATTTTAAAATCATGAAAACACACTTATAGCAGTGATATTCAACAGTAATCTTGCATTTATAGTAAAGCAAATACAACACTGAATGCCCTGTCAGTCATTTAACCCAAACCATTACCTCAGTGTACAGCTATGGTGCATAGATCCGGACTATTTTTGGATGTGCGTGTGGTGGGACACAGGTAAAGGTGAGGAGATTTCATTACCTCACCCAGTCCCACACGGGAGAGAAAGGTATCCTCTGAGTAGACCATTGTAGAGGCTCAGAGCATCCGTTAATGGGTGGGACTACATATTACTTCAGTGCGTATCCAGTGTCTTGAGGTCATCTCCTGCAAACAAACGAAGGCTAGAGATCTCAAAGGTTGGGATATGCCTTGGGCTTTAACAGTGATGGGCGGTCATGTATTTTCAGCTGGACAAACTCGATACAGCCAGTACAAACGCACAAGGCATAAATGAACCCTCTCACTAGCACAAACTAATGACATCATGGTTTGCTCTTGACAGATCAGGCATTGAGCTATCTTTGGATTTCAGTCTGGTGTAGGCTTTGATAAAATCTACAAAAGATGGGTTCAGGACAGTTGACAATTTTAAAAGGAACACCTGCATGAGAAATTGCATTATTGTTTTGTTTCAGTATGTAAACCATAATGTTTTACTCCATATGAGGGCAGAACAGTTACTGTGTTAAGTATTTAACAGGCCATGTGTGTTGAAACACTGACATATTATGAGTGTTCCAGAATTTGACTAATGCGTTTCAGATGATCCAGGTCACTAGAACAAAAGGACTGAACTTGTATCATCCAAAACAAGTTAAAGGTGCATGTTATTTAATAAAAGCTAAATAAATTTTAATAAAAGCAAAACACGAAGGTAGTGGACACCCATGAGAAAAGTTACACACTGCACCTTTAGATATTACACTGAATGTTAACACAACCCATGGTTTAATTGTTTGTGCTCGGCAGGTGGACATGGTGGGAGTGGACAAACTTAATAACTCCATGGGTTTCTCCATGTTCTTTGTGGGGCTGGGCTGCCTCACAGGGCCTCCTTTAGCTGGTAAGTGATAGGGTAAAAACATCACACCAATCCAGAAGTACAAAAGAAGTACAATTGAGGATAATGTAAAAACATTGGTAATGATTTGTAATTGTATGGTAGTAGAAGTTAGTTTTATATGCTAACCACTAACTGGACTTTGCACCTTTTGGCCAATGTATTGAAGGGGCCGGTATGCTATTGTTATAATCATCTACTAGTATGTTTTGCACTGGGGCCCCAGATTTCCTTAGCCTTAACATGCCTGAAATGTGTGGAAAATGTGGCAGAGAGGAGAAAAACAAGCTATAGTTAGTGCAGCCTTCAACACCGGCTAGGATTTTGGGATGAAAAGGTGTACAGAGGTTACTGGGTCAAATTTCACTCTCTTTGCCTATGAGCAAGTCAAGCCAGATTCTCAGCAAAACAGTTTTGCTCTATGCAGACCACTGCGCATGTGAAAGTCAGGGGTTAGACTAAGTTGTTTTCATGTGACAAACACCATTAACTTATAGGAAGATATATGTTTTAAGTGGAGGAATGAAAGGCAGTAAATTCTGCGAAAGGCTGTTTGTGTGGTAGAGCAATTATCCAGACCAGTTGCTACAAGTTTTACTTGATTTGTGTATATAGGTTAAATGTGTATGAAGGGCTTCTGTAGAGAAATATGAAGGCTTAATTTTTAGTGTATTTGGTGTTCTGTCTACTTAAAGTTAGTAGTAGCGCTGGGAATAGTAGTAGTAATATTTGTAAGACACTGAAACACACACAATAATACTACAGACACACACACACACATTCTTTTTTTTTTAATTACCTGCACCCTTTGAGATCGGATTTGATGGCATATTTTGCACAACCCCTGTTTCTGCTGTAGGCCTTCCAAGAAGGGTGTACTCTTTCTCCTCAACATTTGGCCCCACTTAACATATTTGTGGTTGGGGCTCCCCTGCACCTCCTGACTTGGTCCCTTTTGACAGTATTAGGCCATCTTTGAGTGGAGGATTGTGTTGAAACGTGACCAAAGAGCCCCTTTAGGCTGGTATGGAAATAGGATGGGGCTCTGTTTACATTCCCTGTGACTAGTGTCAAAAACATTGAGTTAAGCTAACTGCCTCTGTGTCTGTGAAGGCATTTTCCCTTTGACCTGTTCATCCATTTTCAAGTCACTCAACTGTCAGCAATTGTCTAGGGTTCTGGGCTTTTTCTAGCCTACCTGGTTCAACTGGTGACAACTCAAAATAGCTAGTCTACCTTCAACTTGAACTTTCAGCCGTGGTCTCATAAACCTTAGGTAAAACTATCCATCTCACTGTCCAACTCATTGTGTGTACTTTTGGAGAAATGTGTCCTGCATTCTTTTAATGCCATTGGGGAAAACTGTGTTTTTGAAAGAAGTACAAATTAACCAAAGATTTTCTAGCATGGGATCCCACTAAGGCCATTGTGCCTCAATACATATTTAGCTATTTCGTAATGATAATATTATATTAAGATACATAGAGTGAGTCTTGCTACATTGCTGCAGGTTGCAGAGTTTATTTGGATCTGTATGACTTTACTGTATACCTGGAGGACATTTTTTCAGTTAAATGATTATCAAGATTTCACAGATCACAAATGTCATCAATGTCATTTTTAAACACAAGGGTTGCTTGTGATAGATGGATTATAGACTTTCAGGAAAAACATAGGGGGTGTTTCAGTTGGATTTCAAATATTATCCTTGCACTGAAGTGTACCTTTAAACTGTATGTTTCAGGCCTCCTGTATGATTATACACAAACCTACGATTGCTCCTTCTACCTGGCTGGGCTGTGCTACCTGCTCTCCTCTCTGTCCTTCTTCCTGGAGCCCCTCGCCCAGCGCTGGAAGGCCCGCAAGAGACGAATTCATTCTCCCAAAGCTGAGAGCAGCAGCTGCAGGACCAACGGCTGCTTCATCTCAGACCGCACACACAATGGGGCCGTGTAGACCTCACAAACCAGGGAATGCCTTTGGAACCAGCTTAGACTGTCTTTGGACTGGATACGTGAGACTTGAATGTGGTCCTGGTGTAGGGTCAGAACTGGACAAAAACCTTCAGTCATGCACAGACTTAAACTTAATAGAAACCAGAACCTGGCTGCATGATTGTTATGAATATACACTGTGTGCATAATTATTAGGCAGATAGATATTAGTTGTATTTATGAGGATTAATTTTATAATTGAACAACTACAGTGCTCTCAGTCAGTCCAAAATGTTAATAAACCTCAAGCCTGAATATTTAAGAAAATGAAAGTGAAGTTTTGGCTTTCTTAGAAGAAAATCTATGGGTGCACAATTATTGGGCAACTATAAATGTGCAGAATTATTACACAATTAAATGAAAAATTTACATTTTCCATTCTCTGTTTATTTTCATCTGTCAGAATAGTAAACAACTAAAAATGTACAAATAAACATTTCTGACATAAAAAAAAAATCTGTGACCAATATTGCCACCCTTCTCAATAATGGTCATAAGCCTTCCATTCATGGAGTCTGTCAGTTTCTTGATCTGTTGACGATCAGGTTTTTGTGCAGCAGAAACCACAGCGTCCCAGACGCTGTTCAGAGAGGTACTGTTTTCCTTCACCGTAAATCTCCGGTTTAAGAAGGGCCCACCAGTCCTCAATAGGGTTTAGGTCAGGTGAGGAAGGGGACCATGGCATTATTTTTTCATGTTTAAAGCCTTTACTGGCTAGCCATGCAGTGGAGTACTTCGATGCATGCGATGGAGCAATGTCCTACATAAAAATCATGCAGCCTTTTGAAAGATGCAGCATTTTTCTTGTACCACTGCTTGAAGAAAGTGTCTTCTTAAAACTAGCAGTGGGTTTTGGAGTTCATTTTGAGTTCATCTTTAACCCAAAAAGGTCCAACAAGTTCATCTTTAATAATACCAGGCCATACCAGTATCCCACCTCCACCTTGCTGGTGTCTTAAGTCGAAGTGGAGCTCTATACCCATTACTGATCCAGCCACATCCATCAAAAGTCACTCTTATCTCATCAGTCCATAAAACTTTTGAAAAATTTGTCTTCAGATATTTCTTGACCCAGTTTCAGCTTATGTTTCTTGTTCAGTGGTGGTCGGGTTTCAGCCTTCCTCACCTTGACCATGTCTCTGAGCACTGAACACCTTATACTTCTGGGCACTTCAGGTAGGTTGCAGTTCTGGAGTATGACAGTGCTGGAGGATAATGGGTTCCTGGTAGCTTCATGTTTGATTCTTCTTAAATTTCTTGCAGTTAATTTGCATCTTTTTCTCTCAACGTGTTTCTTGTGACACTGTTGACTATTTGCAACAAAATGTTTGATGGTTCTGTGATCCCAATATCTTTGCAATTTCAAGAGTGCTGCATCTCTCTGAAAGTCTTTTTTAAATATTTTGGTTTTCAGAGTGAGTTAAATCTCTTTTTTGGACCATTTTGCCTGAGGAAAAGAAGCTGCCTAATAATTCTGCACACCTTGATATAGGGTGTTGATGTCCTTAGGCCACACCCTCCCTTGTTAGACCTGATATGCTTAAATTCAAGTTTATACAGCTTAGAGAATATGCATAAAAATCATGATATGGTTAAAATACCCACTTGCCTAATAATTGTGCACACACGGCGTATGTATGCGGCATTAAGTATCCTGACTGAACTCTTGAAGCCAAAGGTTTTAGAAGAATCTCTTTGGATAACACATATTTAGATAATTTTAGATCATCTATCTTCAGAGGCACATGCTTCAAATGTATATTTTATATCAGCACAATGTAACTAAGCTGCAAGTTTATATACAATAATAGTAGTAACGCATAGTATTGCTGATAACTAGCTATGCACACGTATAACCTCAAATAGCACACATTTTTAACCTCTTCACTTGATTCTTAGAAAGCCTGTGCTTATAGATATGCACTTTGAGCCAACTTTGAAAATGCTGCATGTTCCCTCACTCTGCTAGATAATGAATCAGCAAAAAGCCAAAAAGTTGCCTCACAGTTGAAACTGGGGTAACACACGAACAAGCATTTTCTAAACTTCAGCTGGAAACCTCTTTGTTATACCACAGATGAAGAAGTCATTTGAGAAGATTAGCTTCCTAGTTGCTACATACAGTACATCTGTACAGTTTTGCCTTTTTTGCCCATAACTTTTTGTATGAGGCTTATTTTAGCCAATGGCCAACAAACAGTTTTCTTTTCTGTACAATGTTTCCTTTGGTGACTCTGACCAAGTTTTGCTGAGTAGTTGAATTATGTGAATGAATGTTCTTGACGGTGCTCTGACTGGACTTTGTGGTGAATCGTTGCACAGCCTCCTCAGTGCCTGCAGGCAGCCAACTATTGGCTATGCAACTCATGTTATGTTGTGTAATACTTAAAGACTCTTATTGTTTGTCAAATCAATATTATGTTTGTTTGTCACCACTATTTGCCTTAAGATACTCCACTGTATCTTTTTGTATACTGTGATGCCAGCCAAAGACATGTTATGTTCACCTTCATCTGCTTAATCAAATTTTGTTTTTAAGGTGTCAGGTTTGTGACACAAAGCCATTAACCATGTCCTGGCGAATTTAGACATGTCTAGCTTAAGATGAAGTGGTTTGCTGCAGCTCCCTCTTGTGGCCTCAACAGGTTTGTACACAAAGAATTCTGTTTCAATTATCACCAAATTAGTTCCCCTCAGCTCACTTTCACAATACTGACCAGGGTTCTTTGTTTTGCATCAATGACAGCCATGGACAAAAGCCCCATCAGGTCAGGAGTTTTATCTGTTTATTGAATCCACTGAATTTTTTGTACATTTATGAAACTGTTATGAGGCTTTAAAGTAGTCTATGGTTTGGGATTTTCCTTAGATATTTGGTTAAAAAATGGAAAATTCCATTCCTTCAATGGAAAATGGGTTCTTGTTTATCATGGATTACTCACATATTTCTCCTTGAATTTCTGGGTTGAACAATATTTTGTTACTTCTTTTAATGTTCAAGTTTATAGACTAAGAACTCCTGGTCCCTTACTGCTCAATTATTAAAATGGTCCACTATAATAAATTGCTATTTCTCAGTCTCAGTCTTGGAGTGTGTTCAGTACTTGTTACTGAAGATTTGTTATTAATAAGAAATCATACACATTATGACTTTTTGCATTTTATTTGAAACAAATGAAAAATCTCCAAACATACAGCTGTGTTATACAATTATCCAATTTATGCAAAGAGTAGGAATGCCTGTTTTAAAGGTATTATAAAGCAGTAAAAACACCTGTAATGGAATAAATGTGATATATATGTTTAATGGCATACTGTGGAAAATTCCAGGTAAGGCAATGACATCTCCCTTGATTCAGACCCCTACCAGAATAGTGCCCCTTAAAAGCTAATGATTCTTACTTACATTCAGTGAGGTTGCTGCCTCCCACAGCCAGTCCACAGCCGAATGCGCAAGACGAAAAAACTGTAAAAAAAATAAATAAATAAATTGATTGTGAGTTACTGACAGTGAACAATGATGTTGATATAAATAGGACTAATAATGATACTGTAACTAGCACTTGGTTGCAGTGAAGCTCATTGGTTTGTTCACATTATGTGATCCCTCTTTGCCCTTTGCTACATCACTGCTTAACCTACAAAAAAGAGGACAAAAGTATTTCAAGTAAAGCAAAGCTGAAATGATATTATCACACAACTTCACGCATCATTTTAATTATGTATTCCACACACCATGCCACAAAATTGGTCATAAGTAATGCATTGTGGTGTGTTGGTAGATAAACCTAACTGTGTCTCCAGATAAGAAATATCTCAAATCAGATTTTACTAATAAAACGTAATGTTGATTCACACATTTATTAGCTTTAACACTGCATAAAAGTGGTTTAAAATATTTTCTTTTAGTGGTTTATAATATAAAATAAAATAAAGGTGGTTTAAAATATTTTTCTTTTAGTTTTCAAGACAACTTTCCATTTATTTTAAGGATATAATTTCTTCCTTAATAAATATTTTGTGATGCTGGTCTGGGCATAAAAAAAGATTTGGCCAAGTTTGCTCAAACAAGCACTACTAGTAAGATTAAGGTATTACTGTCCCTCTGGAGAAACTCTTTTGCATTTGCTCCATCCCTGTATGTCCAGGGTGCAACCTGTCAGGAACAGTAAGTATCACAGTGCAGCACTCAGAGACCCAGCTCTAGATACTGATCTTAAACTTTTGAGGATAGGATACCATAGCAGTGCCTGTTTTATATTAGTGGTGCTTGTACAATTTATATGATATTTCAAAGTCCCTTGAGGTTTGAAGTCATGGTTTAGATTTTGTCCTGTTGCCTTGCTTTTTATAGCCTTATGGTTGAGTCCCAAATCTGTCCCATGACTCTTGCCTGCCTACTGCATCTGATAATGTTTTTTATAGATTCATTCAGATTTGGTTCCCAGTTTACATATTTTCTTACCTAGTTCAGGTCAAATGTGTTCTAGGGTAGTACTTGTACTGTAATTACCGTCATGCTTAATCCCAGTGGGCAGATTTCAACACTGTACTGTGGTGAGACATTCATGTTTGCCAACCAGCCTCCTCTTGACATGACGACAAATATTTGGGCCATTGGGGGTTAATAATCTTTCACTTCAATTAATCGTTTGCATTACTGTGATGTTAATTTTGCAAGAAAGAGACAAATATGTTGAATTACAATAGCAATTGTTGGTCAGTATGTGACAGATAGAGGCTATTGATCAACATGGTCTGTACAGACCATTGCAATTTATCCTTATTTCATTATACATTTATTTATATTTAGTTCTGGAAACTGGGAATCCATGTAGCATTGTATTGTTTAAGTCTAGCATTAGCAATATTTTATTTACTGCATAAGAAGGAACATATTTGGGTTAGCACTAGTTTATATCATAGAATGTTAGAATGTAGAGTAGCCTAGTTTTTAGATGTTCGACTGACTAGTCAGCACTAGCCTTACCTTAACTGGTACAAAGGGATTCTGAAAACACATTTATTATAAAACGCAATTGGCTTCATGTACATTGTAAATACTGTAAATGTTTGTGATTACTGTTGTAGTCACCGTGTCATGTTTGGAAAACAAAAGTGCTTCTGTGGTTCCTCTGTCTGACGAGTGTTTTTGACACCTGATACTTACCCAGCTGCCTGTGCCATCGATACAGAGCTGGCGGGCAGCGTGTCGTCTTCGTACTCACCATGACAACAGAGTTCTGTCATGCGTGTGACCCACCCTGAGTGAGCAGAGCAGGTGCAACGGTCCTCAGGCCAGTGTGAAGTGGAGCCTCCTCAGGATAACTACTGTCTTCTCAACACTAAGGTGTAGAAACAACTCACAGCCATTTCCTGTGGGACTGGAACTAGACTGAACAAAAAGGTCTGATGAAGAGGGTTCTTGGAGACACCAGGTCCAGCGCGAGGGTTCCTCACAGCAGTTTGAAAAAAACAAAAAAAAACAAATCAAGCTTTTTGTTCAAATCACTTCCATCCTGGGGCAGGCCTCGGGTGAGAGAGTACTGCAGCCGCTCCTAAAGGTCTGGTAACACTAACACAAATCACTGGAAAACCATATTCCTATCTGGGGTCAAGGGTCAATCCTCTTCTGAGCTGTTTAAAGGTGAATCAGATCAGATCTGAGGAGCACAAAAACACAGGCTTCAAAGCGAGTACACAGCCTCCAGTGTGGAGGTGTGTGGAGGCGTGTGGACACAGACCTGATCAGGTCAGGTGGGTGTCTGTCTGGATGCGAGCCTCTCATACTCTGGTCTGAACAGCAGAAGCTCCTCCTGAAGCAGGGAGCCGCACAGGAGCAGTGTTAAACGTGTCAATGTAATTAAACATGTGCATCTTAGCAGAAGTGAACAGGCCTGAACCAAAGAGCGATCCTCAAATCAAACAGTGGTCTGTGTTCTTGGCTAATAAAACTGTCTCCCTTTTTCTGAGCAGAAACAAGTGACAACTCCTCGAAACACAATAAGGTACGGCAGCCTGTTTCTTCAATCACATCCATCGAAGAAACATGTTTCCTTCACATGAACAATTTATTGATAATGGGTCACAGAAAGTGCCAGGTGTACTTGCAGAACAGCTGCAGGTCTATCCTTCCTTTCCCATGAGATCAAAAGGTACAGTGCTGACTTTTCCATTTAAAACAGGTGTAGAGGGCCGTGAGCCGAAACAAACACACACTAGGCCTCAGTCAGGAGCCTCAGTCAGGACTCCTCTGAGTCCAGAGAGGAGCTGGGGCTGCACATGGAGCACTTTCACATCAATGTCTTCAAGACAGATCAAATCAAAACAACTCAAAACAAAGGCCAGGCTGTGAGGCATGAAAAACAAATATGTAACCAACCACTGCAATAGGCCCGAGGAAAAGACAGGCAAATGTAACGCTGTCCGATTTTATACTAATAAAATTTAACATTAAAAAAATCCCAAAATATAAAATTAAATTGAGCTGTTACTGACCAATTAGCAGGGATTGGTTACTTTGGAGACATTTTACTAGTACTAAATACTGATGATTGAAAACCTGAAATAAATGGTCTGTCAGAACATGAACACACACTCCTCAGATGTGAATCCATCACTACTGTAGTTTTTATCACATTCCACAACCACATCAGGAGCACGGCTGTACAGATTAAACAATAGTTAGTATTTTCTCATGTGTAGTATTTTATAGTCTGCAACCTGGTCAAAGATCCCACAGTCTAGTGTTACCAGGAGCAAGTGTCCATCATCTACTCTGTTTAGTGTAGTTAAGAACATTCACTTGAACAGAAAACATAAATGTATGCAAAACATCTTGACCCAAACTGTAGAAATTCTAACCGTTTTAGTAATTAGACTCCACATTTCTATGGAACTTTTCATTTGACCTCAAAACCACACCCAAAACACATGAAAAACATGTCCTGTGTCTTATATGCTACAGGTTGTTATTTTTAAATCGATCAATATGAATTTAGAATGTGCTCTCCCATGTAATGTGTTTTCTATCAGCCTTGTTATTTAAAGTGATAAGGATTTTGTTGCATGAAACCAAAATATTTTGCTATTGAAATGAAAGAAAATCAGACTTGAAACTCAGTTAATGTGAAACAACCCACTTTAAAATTGTCCTGCCAATAAAATTTGAAACTAACAAACTTTGGGGGAAATAATTAAATGTAAGTGTCATGGCAATAAAGACTGGAGAACCAAGTACTAGTGAACCCCATAATGCAGATCACACAGCATGCAGTAGTTAAGAACTTCAAATTAGTGTGTTCTTTTTTTTTAAGATGCTCCTCGAACCACAATCATGACTAAATAGTCCTCTTCACTTTTAGCCAAAGCCTTAGCAGAGGAATCCAGGAACTGCTTGGAGAATTCACAGGGAGGGAAAGCATGAAGGACCCCTGTGCTGTCCTTCTCTCTGCTGCCCCCTACAGGCAGGCTGATGACTCCAGCAGCCTGCTTTTGGTTGAGGTAGGACACCAGGTTGCGAAGCGGCCGTTGAGTTGATGCAGCATCAGAGGAGGACTCCTCCGTGGTTCCAGGCACTGCTAACAGGATGGCGTATCCTCCAGGTCCTGCCACCTTGATCCGACGTGAGACCTCGTCCAGTTTGGGCTGGTCCAGGCGCAGGCGCTGGGTGATCTTCAGCTCACTCAGCGGTCGTGCAGAGGCGTCCAGCAGGAGGTCGGTCGGCACGCTATGGTCCCCCTCCAGGAGGTGCATGTGGGCGGGGAAATGGCTGTTCTTGAGCAGAAGCATGCCGCTCCACACAGGGCTCTGTTTGATGTCCTGTTTGGAGAGCTGGCTCTTGGAGCTATCTGTGCGCTCGCGCTTGGCTGAGCCTTTGCTGCTCTCACCAGTTTTACGCTTTCGTTCGACAGGAGCCACACTGCCAGTCGACTTCTCTGAGACACTCTGGCTTTTAAGTCTTCGCTCAGTCCCGGCCCGCTCCACACTGCTGTGGCGTTCTCGAGCTGGGGAGGGTCTGTCGGCTCGTATAGGGCGCTCTGAGTCGCTAAAGCGCCCCCCCTCTCTGCTGCTGCCCCCCGGGCTGCCCTCTGGTGAGGCACGTCTGCGCCTTGCTGTCCTTTCAGTGCTGTCAGGAGAATGGTCTAAATGCCGCCCGTCCTCCAAAGCACGCCGCTTCCTGCTTTGTTCACGGCTCTGTAGCTCCCTCTCCAAAGACCAGGACTCCCGCGCTCTCCGTTCACGGTCCAAGTGCTCCAAAGGCTCAAAAGGCGAGGCTCTGACCCGCTCCCGAAATGCAGGGTTGGGCCAGTCATTGGCAGGAAACAGTTCCCTTTCTCTGAAGTGGACGGGCGGAGGAGTTCGTTCTCTGACTCTGAAGGGCTCGGCAGTGGCCCTGTGCACAAAGGACTCTGCTACCATGTCAAAAGGGGGAATAGGGAGAGGCTGCAAGAACTGCTGCTGGTAACGATGCTCAGTTTCGGCAAAGTCTACTCTGAGTCTTCTGTCGGGACCCCCCAAAGGGAAGCCCCTCATATGTGTGCATGCAGCCTGTGCAGCATCTAAACTTTCATATTGGATATAGGCCCAAGAGTCCCCTTTTCTATAATCAATGGTCCTTATAGTGCCAAAGCGATCAAACTCTCGGGCCAAGGCAGCTACAGGCACCCATGGTCCGAGTCCACCCACCCAGAGGCGAGTGGAAGGAGTGGCTTTCCCATAGCCTATCTTTATAGGGTTGCGACCTACTATTTTGCCAGACATACTAAGCTTAGCACGATGGGCCATGTCAAGGTTCTCAAACTTCAAAAATCCATATGTGCTCGTTTGGCCCCGACTGGGCCTCTTGATGTCCACTTCTGTGATGACCCCGAACCGGTCAAAAGCTCTCCTTATGTCTGGTTCAGTAATGGAAATGTCCAAGTTCCCTAAAAACAACGTCCTGTTGGCCCTTTGGTCATCCTCTGGAGATATAAAATCCTCTTCACGGAAAGTGGCTCTTTCCGGGACAAAGGCGGGGCGTGCTCTGGCCTCAAGCAGGGCAAACTCTCGGTCCCGGTCCAGGTCCCGGGGCAGGGGAGGCGGAGGGGGTAGGCGTCCGAGAGCGAGCTGCTGCAGGCGGTAGTCCCTGTACCCAAGGCCGGTGGGCGACAGCGGCCTCTGCATATGTCTGTGGCCTGGAGCTGCTGTATACAGCTCTCTCTCCACTGGGGAGCGGCTTCTCCTTCTGTTTATGTACACGGGCTCGATCTTCAGAGGGCGATCATAAAGAACCAGACGTCCGCGAGCGTGCTTAGCGGCCCGTGCGTCCTCAGGTTTTCTGAAATTGACAAATGCTATACGTTCCTCATTGCTGCGGCTAATCTTAATGCTGACGTCTCCAAATTTCTTAAACTCATGAAATAGTCCATCCTCGATGTCTTCGTCGCTGAGCTGAGAGCCTAGGTCACTTATTTTGAGAGTTTTGTACTCACTCTCGGTGCTGGGCGCCTGGACCCGCTGCTCCCCCCTCGAGGCACTCCGTGGTGCGGCCAAATCTAGCGAGAGGCTCAGGTTATGGTTTTTAGCTCCGGAGCCAGCGCTCCCCGGGCAGCCATGATTATTACCAACACGACCGTGGCCATCAAAGTCTCTGTCTCGTTTTTCACCCATTAAACTTCTTCTGGTCGAACCGCCGTCGCCTTTAGCTGAGCTGGTGCCATTATTGCTGCCGCTGGAGACCGAGCCGACCCCCATTTTCTTGTTGCTTAGGTGGCATCCTCCCCGGTCTCGGATATCGTCCAAGGCTCGTGAGCGCTTTTTAATCGGCGACCGCTCCTTTCCTTTCATTTCGCCTAGTGCGGTGGTGTCTTTTAAGGACACAAAATCAACGTTGGTTCTTTCAAAAGAGTATCGTACTAATAAGGATTATACGCGTTTTTTTTCACGGACTCTACGGAAAAACAACAACAGTCGCCATTTTGTAAAAACTACTGTGCAGTTCCTCCCCTGCGCTGTGATTGGTTCAAATGAGGGAGGGGATCCGAATGGCGACTGTCAATCATCTGCACACAGTGGAAGACTGGCTTCATTTTCTGTAAAAATAAAGAAATAACATAAAATGTACACATTACATTAATAATATTATAACAACTACTACTGCAACGGACTTGCATAGATTGATAAACACGTTATTGTCTGGTGTTCTGTAATTCTGTGTAAGCCATTATAATCTAAGGCCAGAAGATGGCAGTATTTTAACATAAATTAAAAGACACTTAGGATTTTCACCCTCTATATATTTTTGTTTGTCTGGCAGTGCGATAAATGAAAATAGACATTCATTCAATCCAACTCTGTTATGCTGCTAATGCTAGGGCTGTGTGTTTGGGAAATCTCCTATGATTAGGCTTAGCCTACTTAATTTACAAGCTATTTATTAGTGCCAACATGAAGGTATGTTTGCACGTAGGCCAATGGTTGGAGGTTCGACTGCAGTTTCAATCAGTGCATACGTTCATTGTGCCCTCAGGCAAGGCACTTGTACTTCATGTAGGCTGGTGATGTATGAGGTGTTATTGATGGTGACCGAAGAGGCCGTTGGCGCAGACTGGCAAGCAGCCCTCAGGCAGAAGGCTATCACTAGTTTACCTGATGCGCATCGACAGTGTGAGATTGGGACCTTGTTTCTCTTTCTTCACTTGGTGTATTAGTTGCTTTGTGTGACCACTGTTCTGCTGTTTAACAACTTCAAATAAAGATCCTTCTCCAGCCCTCCTTTCTTCAGCCCTCTTTCTTCAGCCCTTGACAATTGCACTCAACTGGATAAATCTTGCAGAGATCAAAGCTCTAACAGTGGCCAGCGGCAGCTCTGTAGTTTTAATGAGCATTAAATCGTATTTCTGCCCAGTAATCAGGCTAGGCGCAAGTTTCCTGTGACAGTCTTCACCTACTGACCTCAACTTGGTGACACTTTGTTATTAATAGGCAAAAGCATTTTTTCATTTACTTCATATTGTGGTTCCTTGTATGAGGCTTGATGTATGTCTATCGAGATCAAAGCCAATGACCTGTTTTATCTTTATTAAAAAATAGAATATATGTGGTTATAGTTTAAGCAAGTCTTTCTTCCCTGGTGTTCAATGGATCAAAAATGTTTTAGTACACAGATGTGGTTATAAAAGCAAAAACTCAATTAAGATGATAATTATATTACTTATAATACTGTAGAAGTAATATAATGTGAGCAAGAGCACACAGCATTTATATTTAAGCAGTAATAGGAATAACAGTAAATAATGACCACATTCTTCTGTTGAAAAGGAGTCTTATAGCCGAGACAATTAGTGATGAGTGGTGGATGGGTAATATGAAACTAAATTTAAGTATTTGAAATGTTACTAATGTAAACAAGCTCTTGAGAGTTCATTTATCTCTAAATCTTAATCTCAGCATGATACTCAATGACTTTTCTAATTAAATGGAACACCAGTCTAAATTTCTTTCCTATTTTGTCCATCTCCACAGTCCCTCATTGCAATGACAGCTCTCCTTATCTCGTCCACTTAATCTGGGTCCTAATCAGGTCTATGTAACTGCAGTAAGGCTGCCGTCTCTCCGGGCAGAGCTGGAATTTGAGGCAGTGGGTGTGGAGAGAGTTTTGGTCCGTCTCTATTGGAAACACATGTCAAGTCTATCACACAAGACTATAAGGGACCAACCGATCTATTCCCCCGTAAGCAAGAAAAACTGCAGGGGAGATATTTGAAGTTTGGGAAGGCTCTGTCCACCACATCTTTTTTTTCTGAATACATGATGTGTCTTTTAAGTGTCTTTTAAGTTAGAAAAATTGAAATGTTTGCCAATCTGACAAACACTGGCATCCCAATTCATACCACATGGAACAATGCAATACAGTTCAATGTTGCCATAAGAGTGAGGAAAATGTATAGTTTTGGGTAAAGCAGAGTAAGAAACACAGTGCTTAAATGTATTCTGAAATGCAGGATAAAACAGATTCATAGGAACTTAAAGGCTAAAAATATGACTAAACCAAGACGCTATGTTGACATTATTCAGTTAGTTAAGAAAATGTCAATGTTTTTATCTCATTACTACAGTGAAATTAGTTTGTTTTTATTTTAAATAGTTCTTTAGTAATGGCCCATTGTCCCACCATGATGCATGAAGTGCCACTCTTTCTCAGTGATAGCAACCCATTTCCCTGTACGTCAGAATCACAACGCATAGAAGTTTTCCACCATGCCACCTTTCAGTCCAAAATGTAATTTCTCATATTGTTTTGATTTATCTTAATCTAATTTTTTTTTTTTTTAAATGAAAGGAGATTCTTGCAGCAATCCATAATTTGTAGATTACCAAGTGAGCAGGAGTCTTATTAGCTTGTCTTGCTTGGTCAAGGCCTCTCTGATGTTATTACCAGAAACTAACATTTCAAAGCATATTATTTTGAATACTTAACATTTGCTGCTGATGACAGACTTTATTATTGGTCACACTATTTTCACAAGAAACACAAAAAGGATTAACATGATAATTACATTTGTACATGCTTAAATAACTCCACCATTGTTTTAATGGACATAAAAAATATCAAATGTAATAGAGGTGAGATGCAGTTATTATTATTATTATTATTATAGTTGGTTTTACGTGCAAGGGTTATTTCTCCATTTTCAACAGTCCTCGTCAGGATTGTGCAATGTCTTTGTGTTGCTTGTACAAATGCTGAGAGGGAATATTTGAGTCATAGGCCGAGCGGCTGTTTACATTTGGACTAGATCAGTAATGTAATATGCTTTGGCTCAGTCAGTGCATAATGGAGAGCTGGCACTGTTGTGGTCATGTGGGCCAGGAGAGAATGCTGCCCGGCTCTTTGGCTTTCATCCGCAGTGCTACCAGGCCCGTGGGCTTGTACTCGGTCTCGGGTCCATCGATGGAGGGGGAGCCCAAGCCCCCAGAGAAGCTGTGGAGAGAGTAGAGGCCATTGATGCCCGGATGGTGATGGTGTGGCGGGTGGTGATGATGGGGGTGAGTTGGTGAGGTGGGCATCCCCATGAAGCTCTGCAGGTTACTGTGAGGGTGAGGGTACGGGCTCATGCAGGATGAAGGGTCAGGTCCCAGGACACAACCAGCGGCTGAACCTCCTCCTCCAGCTGAAGGCGCCCCAGGCCAGAGATTACCTTGCATCTGAATAGAAAGTATGAAATAATTATTGGGCCATATTTAAAAATGATATCTGTGTAAAATGGATAAATAAAATCAATTAACATGAAAATATCGTATTCAAATCGTAAATTGGCTCTAGTATTATAATAGATAACCTAGATAACAATTAATCATGTAAATCTTTTCTTCTTCTTCTTTTATTTGTCAACTCATTTACTAAATGATTATTTAAAGATAAAGAACTAGGGTTTGGTCAAACTTGGAGGCCACGTTTACACAATTACACTATAATATCCTAATTAAAGCAAGAACAAAGACTTCATAATGAATAGTTCATTAAGATTAAGATAATAGTAAGGCTTAGGGACTACTTAATGGATTATAGTCAGAAGTTAGAAGTATGGTATCAAGCCTGAAATATTCTTAATAAACTATATGTTCATTATGAATTAAGACTTTGTTCAAGTTCATTAAGTCTAATTAAGTAGCAGTAGTAGTAGTTAAGTGTTACCAAATGTACATACTTCTCCAGCAATAACAATTAATAATTACTCTAGTGTTGCCATGACAGTATTTCTTACCTGATATGTGTCATGACGAGGAAGTAAAGATAAGTCGTAGGTAGCAGCAAAGTGGTTGCGGACCTCTTGAATCTTGCCGTAGCGTTCCCGTTTTCTCCACTTGGCTCTGCGGTTCTGAAACCAAACCTGTCCCAGACCAGATTAACAGTGGTAAGTCTCCATTGTAGTATTTTAAAGCAGAGAAAAGCATTAGCCCTCACCTGCACCCGCGCTTCTGTCAGCTCTGTGCGGAGGGCCAGCTGCTCGCGGGCGTACACATCAGGGTAGTGTGTTTTCTGAAAGACCTTCTCCAACTCCTCCAGCTGAAAGGTGCTGAATGTGGTGCGATTTCGGCGCTTTTTGTTTTTTCCCGACAGGTCAATGGAGTCTGCGATGGAGTCCCCCTGGATCATACCTGCAGCCTCTTTCATCTTTGCACAACAATCAGAGCCAATCCCAGGGTAGACCAGGGTTTTGGGGGTTCCCTTTTCTCTGCCTTTGAACAAAAACAACAAAACCAGAACATTTTAATAGTTGGAAATATGAAAATGTTTACGGTAATTTACATACGTTCTCTATGTTTTAGTTTTGAGTTGTTTTTTCCTTTCCTTCAATATAAAGTAATTTTGGGTATCTTGAAAGGCTCTGTGTCATTTATCATTATTATTATGGGGTATCATGTCTCAATGTCAAATTCTAATGTTTTCCAATTACAGTGATTTATCAAAATAACTTACTTTCATTAATAATGACTAATAGAGTAACCTATGTGACTAGCTTTAACTTTTCAACTCTTCAATTTGCCTGGAAATTTAAATAACCTTGATTACAACATTTTTACATCTGTATTTTACAATGGACAAAGTCTGAAATTCCTATTTTTATCCCAAGTTCTGTCTTTTCCAATGAACCACGAAGAAAGCTGATAACTGGAATCACGTGTGCTAAAAACAAGACCGAAATAATTAAATGACAGTGAAACAGAATGTACACTGGAACTCGGTGATCAGTGGCCAACATTTAGCAGTTTTATTACATTAAACATAGCACTACATAGAATATTTTATGAGAATCATCCAAATCCATTACCTCTTGGTTGCATTTTTCATTGTACAGAGGACGTTTTGTCTTGTTGAAAAATAACACACATAATTTATTCAACTATATAGCCTTAAACCAGATTAGTGGCATCTCAATTCTAATTCTATTATCTATGGGTTTCAGAGTAATATAAAATAGCTGAAAAGCTGAAAAATGTGAATTACACATAGACAAGCAAGGAAACGTGCGCAATGTATAAAACACGTGTTTCTCAAAAATCACAAGCAGAACAGTGGCCAGTCACAGGGTAGAAAATGACAGCCCTTCCCTCTCATCTAGTATGTGGGACAGTAGGACAGACCCCAAGGATCCAACTCACAACCTTCATGTTGGGAGGAAAGAGCTACCACCATTTACTTCAAATTTTTATTGATGCTATTCAAATCTATTGCTATTCTCAGTCAGTTTTCATGTTTTATTATAATAAAATGTATTTATTTTAATTTATTTATAATTTATTAAAATGATGTACCATTCAAATAATTATAATAATTTTATTATAGAAGTAGTTGTATTTTTAGTGTAACTTACTAAACAAAAACTGATCTATGGATCTTACATCCAGAGAAAGCAGTTTATTTTTTCCTTCCCTGTGAAAGACTGTCGAAACTTGTCTGTGCCTTGTTGTTTGGATGTTGATGTCTGTGTTCATTACATCTGACCCTGTCCCACTCTCATTGGAGGCAGCAGACACAACTCCACTGCACTAATTCAATCTGGGGCCGCTCAGAGCACTTCTCATTGCAACATTAATTTCCTCATGTCCATTAGATCCACACTCTACACAACAGCTCTGAATATTCTCAGGGCAGACAGGGGCCGCAGGACATTTGTAACTGTGGCTTTTACTCTGTCAAAAACCCATATCCGCTGCACCTCCACTGACAGGCACTTATGGGAAATACGTAAAAGGCAAGATGAATAGAGAAAATTTGATGCAGTTTAAGCATGTATTATAACAATTAGTTCCATATCAACTGTATTAGATTTATGTTAAATAATAGTCTAATACACATTCAGATTTAATCCCATAATGTTGTAATTTGTATCCTTATTAAACAGTATATTTTCCTTGTTTATATTATTATAAAATAAACACACACACGTGTATGTATATATATATATATGTAAATGTATATATGTGTGTGTGTGTGTGTGTGTGTGTATATATATATATATATATATACACACATACATACACACACACATATTTATATTTTGGTTTATACAAACTGCTATTTAGGTTTATAGAAACTGCTGCAGTATTAAGGTAAAAGTGAAAGGTTTAGAATAGTGCTGGAAATCATAAAAATAAATGAATTCAAATACTCTCTGACAACAGTCTTGACTAAGAGGTCTACTGTTAGAACACACACTAATGGGACAAGTTTGAGATTAAAAAAAGCTATTTCAGATGAAAACTTAATTTGGAAAAGAATGAGAGGCTTTGAAATAGGCGGGTGATGGTGTTATTTTTGGCAGGAACATGAATCATTTGTATATTTTTGTGGACACAGAGATGTCTGAGACCTCATATCCTCCTCCATACTGCACAGTCATCAACATAAACAAATAAAGAGAAATCAATTCTTCAGGATGCACTTCCTCAAATATGGACATTTATTGACTATAAAGACTGACAGTGTTCACCACACGCCTGCACTGAGCCTAGTCTATAATTTAAAACAGTGATTAGTGTGTGACGGCTGGCGGCCGCTGTCCCGTCTGTGGCATTGACCTTTGACCTTTCCTCACAAGCGTTCAGACTTTCACTGCAATGTGCAGAGGGATACTGCACTTTTAGAGCAAAGTGATAATTTCTTTTGAAAATGAATTATGATTGTCTAATTTATCTAGTTAAGTTAAAGTAAATTGTTTTCAATTGTTTTATTAATTACCACAGTAGAACAAAACCTATTTCTTATTTTCTTAATTACATTTTGGTATTTAATATATGCATAATTATAACAGTTCAGTTAGTCTATTTATTTTTAAACTTAAAAGGGGAAAATTTTTATATAAAACACAACCAAAACTGAACAAAAAGGATAAGGTTTTACATTTGCTTTTAGATGTCAAGTCCAAGAAATTGGTGTAAATTGCTCCAAAGGCATTCATTTTGTCTACAAAAATATTTCTTTTTAGAAATACAGTAAGAATGTTTGGTTAAACTACATTCCACAGGAGGTTTAGAAAGTTAGGTTTGTTTGACCAAAAGGAAAGTCAGACTAAATATCTTTAAATAATTTTAAACTTTTATGCAAACTGCACTTGCCCACTTACCATCTGCGCTTGAGTCATAAAATCCTGGTTTCCCACTGATCACTGTCCCCTTTTGGTCCTGACTCAAACTTTCCAGAAACTTGCCATGTTTTCCTGGAGATCCGGGCGCAGTGGCCTGTGCACCTCCGTGCGTAAAGTCCGCCATGGCCGCCGTATACAGGTCCCCACGTAAGCTCAGACGATGCTGCAGCGGACCAAGGTGCGGGGCTTTCAGTTCATCGCAGTGCAAGAAGGTCCCTGGGCCAGAGCCGTGCTCCAGACCAGGGGAGGTGTCCGGAGTCCGCCTGCTGCTCTGCGAAGAGAAAGACAAACATGTGTCCGTGTCCATGTCGCTCCAGCTCCAGCTCCGCACGAGAAAAGACAGTGACTGGCTGCTGACGGAGTGGGTGCACAGGTCTCTTTTTTTTTCTCCCGCTAAACTCAAGTGGGTGGGATTTACTAGATCAGAAACAAAGACCCGTGAAACCGGCACCGCGTGCGTGGAAGCGTGCGTGCTTGTGAAAGAGAGCGAGAGCGTGTGTGCGCGCGTCAAGGCCCATCCAGCTTCCAACAGTCTGATATAATTTGCCAAAAATTCAATCACGTGTGGTTTGCGTCCCCTCAATTAACCATTTAATTCCTATTTCACATGTCGTTATGGTCTTTATGCAAATGTAGCACAGAGACAAGATGTGCGCAAATAAATGTATGGGGAAAAAGGATATTAAAGTAGCAAAAAAGAAAAAGCGAAAAGCAGTTAGTTTAGTTTTTATTTTTGCTATTATTTTGCTATTATAATATGTTTTAGACCGGGCAATATTCAGATTGAGAGTTAATTAAACCAACTCGCCTTCGCAATTTAAGAGCTTCAAGAACGAACGAGAATAATTCTCCAAAATGTAGGCTACATCATTATTATTATTATTATTATTATTATTATTATTATTATTATTATTATATTATTATTATTATTATTATTATTATTATTATTATTATTATTATTATTGTAAGCCTATTATCATTTCCATGTTTTACACATGTGTTTTTAAAATATGTTTGTTTTTGTTTTTTTATAGGCTAGTTGCATACACGGGCGCGGCGAACAGACAATTTATTTTAACGAATTTATATGAGGTAAGGTAGCAATCAAGTGTTAAGTAAAACACGTTTTTATGCTTTTATTCACTTTAATCCCATTTAATGTGCAGCTTTACTTTGACGCAATTGGCGATTTATTTGACTTTCACGAGCTCGTCGAATGAAAACAATCGCTTAATACATTTGCTACATTAAGTTATTACAGCAATGTAGGCTTAATGTATATATCATAAACATGAAAGCACAAAAATAAGAATGAACTTGGTCCAAAAAAAAAAAAAAAAAAAAAAAAAAAAAAGCGTTCGATTATGATCAGCTAGGTTAGGCCGAATTGTTCCTATATCTTAAGATATAGTTATCTCTTTTGAATATGAATAAATTTAAAAGTTAAAAATGGTTAAAATACTGTCCTTTAAATGTCATTTATGGACACATCTTAAAGCCAACGTTATCTAGTCAATCTGGTCAAAAAGTAGTGCGAATGGGTTTGACTCAACAGTAAGATAAAAGACTGTTATTCTGGCGTGTTATCTTGGATCTAGACTCGCTTCATCCAAACACAGTGCACTTACCGAGTCCCGTCAGAGCGCTGCCGGTGCGGACATCTCCACATCTCTGAGGATCTCGGTGCGGTTACCTGAGTCGTGCAGTACTCAGCTGATGGACAAGTGCGTAAACAACAGGTCCATTTAGGCCGGGGGCCCTCTCCGATTCAGTCTAGAAACATAGGATATCAAAGTACTCAGGAGTTTATAATTCAGAAAAGTTACTGCTAAACACTTATGGTAATTCCGAGATGAATAATTAGGCATACAGCGGGACACGAGAAAGTGTCAAATTCGTCCAGTCAAATAAACGATCTGAAGTAAATTGTTGTAAATTATATACAATCCCTCCATAGTTGAAGGGATAATAATAATGCATTAGTCTTAAATAGCGCTTTTCCATTCCAGTCGCTTTACAAATTATGCATTATTCATTCACTCCACACTCAGTGGTGGCAAAATAATGTCGTAGCCACAGCTGCAAAGGGGCAGACTGACGTTAGCGAGGCTGCCAGTCTACGCCATTTGGTCCTCCGACAACCACTAACACTCGCACACACCACTTTCATACTAGGCAATGTGGGTGAAGTGCCTTGGACTCAGCAACAGTTTTTGTATGTTTATGTAGTTTACTGCACACGAACATATACTGCTACTATTGCTGTAGGCAGTTGCTCTAGGCAATAGTAGTAAGAGACACGAGAAATCAATAAACTTGTAAGTTAATATACACAAAGATATCCTAATTAGACGTTATGACAAACTAATATCGAGAATCTCTAAGCAATAGCCTATTGTGTTTCATTGCAAAGTGTGAAATCCACTTATGCTATAGTTTTTGAGTTGCCACAGACAGAAATGAAGAGGAAGAGCACCCTCAAGTCCAAGTGATTAGTGGCTGTGGATATAGAGCTTAATGACATTAGCTTGTAACATGACTTAGATTAGCATGTTTGGGTCAGTGGGGCAATAAGACTCAAAAGACTTCACTGTCATCTAAATCAGAGCTACCGTTCAACCTTTCACTCTAAATGTTATCCTGCCCATAAACATTGCTACAGTTGCCACTATTTATCAAACAGGCTGACTGAGTGACTACCATTAAAAACCTCATAATTTTCTCTGAGGGGGGTACGTTGGAGGGACGTAAACACATGGGGGAATAGGATATGTTTCTGAAATGTCGTGACAAGCATGTCCTGTGTAGCCTAAGGGGGCAGAGAGTTCTTGGATTCACAGAGCCAGCTGAGTAAATGCACTCCAGAAATGTGGCCAAGAGGAAGAGTTGTGATCTGGGAGCTGCTGCAGGTAGAGTGTTCATATGAATATTGCATTAAGAGGCAGATGATGTGGAGTTGCAGGCATGCTGTTTGGAAAGGAGTCTCCAACATGTCTCTGCTGCTGGGGGAGATAGGGTGATTTCAGGAAAAAAAAAAATATATATATATATGTATTATAATAATTAAACACATACATCCCAAAGTAAGACTGCACTATTATTAAGCTTTTAATATCTAAAAAGCTGACTATTAAACTACTGGTGTGAAATAATTGATCTGACAGATCAAGTGAATGAAATCCAAAACCTTTATTTGTACTACATTTTCTCCATTGTGGGACAAATAAAGGTTGTCCTAGCTTCTTAAGTCCAAAAGCATATCGAAATATACTCATTAGCTACAGATTTCTCAATAACAAAACACTGACTTTAAATTCTGCCCTAGACATATTTTTGTGTTTTCCTTTAGAGTTTCCTTATCAAATATATCAGCGCACTGTCCGTGACCAGCTCCACTCTGCTCCCTGTGGTCTAAACCCTTGTCCCCCAAACCTGTCCGAGGTATGACCTCGCTCAGGAAATCAGTTCAGCCTGTTGGGTCCTGGAGCCCCCCCACTGCCCCTGAGCTGGGCACAGACGAGGGATAAAGGTGACCCCAGTCTCACTGAGCCCACTGCAGCCCTCAGGCTAAGCACAGCTTCCATCTCGCCCAGCTCCACATCCTCTGTCCCGGGACGTCCCACTGCAGGGCTTTGTCACACCCGGTTACACCTTACATCCTCTCGCTGACACACATGACCTCCTAACCAACCAGCACATGCCCACAATACCACTCAAACTCACTTCAGAGATTTCCACTGCACACTTTTTAGTGGAAAGCATTAAGTGACACACCACCTCCTAACATATTACCAAACCATATAATGAAGCAAACATTGTGCCACTGTTTGGTACTTTAAATTTGGTAGCAGTGCTTCTTTTTACTTAGAAAATTAATATTTTAAGTTATGTCTATAGGCTACATTTACAATGCTACATGCAGGCATAGTTTTTTGTCCAGATTGCACACATCTGTGCCCAGTGTTAAGGGCACAACAGGAAAATCTGCAATTTGTTGAATATTATGGGATGTAGACTAAATGAACACCCGAGTAGAGTGTATAAGCGTATATAAGCTGTATAAGTGTGTGTGATAGCGGGTGTGTGTGATAGCGGGTGTCTGTCACAGCGTCTACGCCTCGGGCTCTTCCTCTCACGTACAGGGCGGTGATTCAACCTGAGGTTTGCATTAGAATAGGAGAAGGATAGCTAATTTAATTAGGCACCATGAATGCACAGAGATGATCCCATGTGCAGAACCTCCAGTCATGTCCATGAGCAGCAGAGCCAGCTGAAGCTGTGATTGGCAGCAGTTGACCCCAGGGTCAGCTAGAGAGGTGCATTCTGGGAAGCACACACGGCTGTAGCAATGGGGTTTTAGTATTAAAAGTGAACGGGAATTGCGGCCACTGTCCTCTGCCTAACCTCAGAGAGGTGTCATGGAGCACCCTGAACCCAGTGAGAGACAGCAGTGAGTTGGATCATAGCCATAACACTCAAGGGGGGATGAGTCTGAAAGACAAAAATCAAATACAACAAACAATGAAAATCACTTTAGAGTAGAATATTAATCTGTATGTAGTATAAGACTCATTATGCATTTGTGGACAGTTTATATTGATTACTGTTTCTTAACCGTGGGTATTAATCTTATGCGCTTAGAACATAAAATATACTCTAATTAGTGAGGTAGAAGACTCTTGTTGGATCGCCATCTACTGGACGAGAACCCTGCAATAAATGATAGCTACAAAATGATAGCGTAGGTAAGCTTAATATTTTTTTTGGTCAAATGACATGCCTATGCGTAATCAACGTGCACTCTATTGAAAAGTGTTTTTTGTCGTTTTACAATGACATGTTAAATATTTAACGCTATAGCGGTATAGTTCCTCTAGAAAAACGCTAATGTTTACAAAATTAGCCCTTACTGGCTAATGAAGTCTCCACTGAAGGCTAGCAGAAAAAAACGCGCGCCACTGGGGATTAAAGAAATTAGTATTACTATATCGTGTTGAAATGTTCAATTTTAAAACACAGTCCCTCGAGGTCAAAATTAATTCCTGCTGACCAATTTGCGAAAGTCACGAGGATCTGTCCGCGGCTTTTTCGGCTTCGTGGGCACGGATAGAGTAGGACAGTAGGTCTGTATTTGAAAGCAGGCAAGTCCTCGTGCCATGGCACCACTGATCAGGCTAAGCCTACTAGTATATTATTTTTATTCCTGCTAATTTTAAGTAACAAAGACGGATCCTACACCTGCTGCAGGATATTTATTACATTTGAGGCCGTTTTAGACATGACGTTTATTTGTTACTACAAATCGAT